CTTTAGCGCGAGGACGGTTTGTCCAAAACATATGAATTTGGTTTTATTCAATGCAGGATTAAGTGCCCTTTAACCGTCATGAAGACCACTTTTCGATAGGGTAAGTCCTTTACGCGGTATAACCGGAAAACCGAAAAAACGCCGCTTTCGGGGGCCCCCACCACTTAAGCACAACTCCGTCGAAGTCGAAAACTTAGGAGAGTCTTAATGGGCAACCAATGAAGCCATTAAAGCAAAAAAATCTTTTGTAGGAATTATTTCCGATTTAACCAATTTTTGTGTTTAATTCTACTGGCCTATTATGTAGCCATTAGAATCAAACTTTCTAATATTTTTAATACCTTTAATTTTTCGATTGCTATGCTACAAAACTTAACGAGTCGTTTACGGCTCTGATAAGATACCACAACTGCCATCAATCACTCAATCACAGTAGTTAAAAATCAAAGGACACGTCGTGTTAACTAATCATCTAGCTCACAAATCGAAATTTACTGCAAGAATATCATGGAGTGGGCATTAAAACCTGCCTGCATGGGTCTATATTTATACGATGCAATGATACAAAAATATTTCACATTTTTGATGATTCGCGTCTAACCTCTTTTATACATAATGTCGTGATATACGGCGAATGTTATAGCAAACGTAATGAGCACTACAGAAACCTCAATCGATTGCAATTGAGCCCTTCTATCGCCCCCAGCGTACATCACAAACCTGTATTCAAATAGTAATGCCATATATTTTACGGGGACCTCTAACGTGGCACCTTGCAGTCATTCTGCTAAAGTATTGTTTATCTGTATCTGATAACTCGGTGGGTTAACAATCTCCACTTATTTGCTTCAGGTTAGTGTGTCACCAATGTGTGAGGGAAGTCGAACCTTAACCACAGAATACATAATAGCCTTAACGTCGAACTCCTCCTATGATCTTCTGATTAATTTCGTTGCGGGTCCAATGACAGTTTAACTTTCCCCGGGGACAAACTTGGCCTTCACTGGTTGGGTTTTTATTGGCGGTCAAGCTGTAGATCCTGGCTACACAGGAGTTGTAGCGGTGGGAACGAGAGGTGGGAATAGTCCCGTTTAGTGTGTCACCAGTGAGTCAGAACTTATCCACCACATCACACACTTAAGGAAGCCTCAAGTACTTGATTATATCAATGGACCTGGTTTATTAGTTTCAAATGCACTTCTGGCGCATATGATAGTCTTATTTGGTCTCATTTAAGACTATAGATAACGATCTTATTGGACGCTTTAATGCTGTAGTTGAATTGATCCATAACGGATAAATATTAGTTAAGAGGCAAGAAATAAAACCGTAATCATCATAACCATTTTCAGTCCTCTACAATGTGAGATGAGTCACTGAAATGACATTACAGCAAAGGAACCTAATAGTTCGAGTATTTTCCAATTAGTGTGTTATTGTGATACTAATCATAGATTGGAAAATAAATCCTGTAATTCTTGGTACACAAAACAAGAGTAGTCCAGACGAACTACACTAGTATACCATTTACACGGCAACTTATCAGCAGGCAGCTACCGGACGCTTAATTGGACACTAATGATCAGGATGTTACGAGTAGTTAACGGTGCTTGGGGAATAAAAGTGAAATAGTAGGGTTTTAACTTTGACTTATAGCTGCAATAGCAAACTATCTAAATGCGCTGTGATATATTTGAGAAGTTTTACATAATATAGATTATGTAGAGTCACCATAATTAAGTTTCCATGGCAGTCTAGACATGCAGGGTTCCCAATGCATGAATCAAGCGATCCTCGACAATTTTCTTAGGAACTGTAAGCACCTCAAACGTATTTAACCGCCAATAACATAAGCGTATTTAGGGCTAACGGGACTATTAGTAATTTGTGCACTACAAGTTGCTAATAATCTTTATTAATCAAAAAAATTTTTTTCTGAGCTCGCTCTACTTTATTATGTAGAAGAATAAGAAAGAGGACAAAAACTTGATAAACTTCAATGCTCTGTTTATGGCATGGCTGGGCTTGATAAGAATAAACTTGGTCTTGCATGCAGTAGATCAGGAAGTGGACTGAGGAATTTGATAGTGCTACGATTTGATTGTGACATCAATGGCACTCTAGTTAATAGGCTAGTTTCCTAAAAAAAATTTTTTAGTCCGTCAATTTTAATATAAAAAAATATTGGACACGTATGTTTTTAATTGTCAATCAAACAAATAATTACAAAGTTATAGTGCATTGAAGTTCCGCGCGACGTCACAAAGTGTTGCACTTTTACGCACTCATTGACGTCACCGACGTCACGGGCCTTTTCTTAAGAACTTTGGCACGCTTTATCTCTTTACATTTTCATTAGTTTTAAAAAGTGAAAAATACGTGTCGAGTAGTTATTGATAATCTAACTGACGGACTAATTAAAACTCTAGCTTTTTTACCCAGGAAACAAACCTATTAAGAATTTAGGAAAGTACTTAAGTTAGTAATTTAAATTAATTTCAGGTATGTCAAGTGCATTATTCAAATGCATATGAAAACCGATTGTGTCTATTAAACATAATGAATATCAAACTATCATAATAGTGTTATTTGCAATGCAAATCGTATCGCATACAATTGAAATGATACGTGTCATTACTGCCATGCCTCCATGCGATAATTCACGGCGATTATTGCCTATTTAGACGATTTGCGGTCGCGAAAACCAACACGTCGCGTCGTTATTATTTATAGTGACCAAGAAATACCTAAGTTAAAAAATGTGTATTTAAATTAAACGACCATACGATTTAATTAGCTAGAGTAGAGCGATTATACTATTAATTGGCTTTACAAAGAAAATGCGCAGTAGATATAAACATTGACCCTAATTTCCGTGAAATCTTCTGTTCCAGTGTAAAAATATTTCATTGATGTTTTTTTAAATGTTTCGCCACAAGTGCTAATAAAATTTACTGATGTTTTCACTAGAGGTTCTCGAAACTTTGTTTTTTAAAGCAGCTGGTGTCTTCTAGTAAAATGCTTCACTAGAATATTTTCAGACCATATTTCACCGGTCGTGCGCACACGCATCGCAAACGATATCACCCACAAATAGTCTGCAGTCTAACCACGGGCACTAAATAGGCGATAAACGCGCATAGTGATGGGATCCGTTTTTACGACCGTATAAAGCTTAGTTTTTAGTGCTAATAGCAAATTGGTTGCACTCAACTACCTGCGAGGGAAGTAAGGAACGCATGTAAAATACTCGCACATTCGCTTTCGCAGACTACTAAATTCTTTAAAGGTTTAGCCATCTCTACTAAACTTCTTATTTTTACAGTTCTGTTTCCCTATAAAATACCTAAATACGGAAACTTACTTTCGCGAGAAGTTTCGCTCGGTTATTACGCTTTTGCTGTAGAAGAAATGCTATACATAAAAGTAGTCTGAACTTCTAGAGCAGTCTTTCCCAAAGTGGGCGATAACGCCCCCTTGTGGGCGCTGCAGGCTTAAAGGGGGCGGTAAGAGAAGAGACCCAGAAAAAAAATCGGGACGTAGTGTAGAGGCTTGGGAGGCGTCATCTACTAGGAGGACTCTTAGACATCGACTGAGCTCGACTCTTGACTACAAAAATGGGGGGCGCTATAAATAATTTATTTTCAAAGTGGGCAGTAGACTAAATAAGTTTAGGAACCGCTGTTCTAGAGCTACTCCATAAATCGAACAAGTAAAGGGTTAACAAACTCGGCTGAAATGCATCTGAAACACGTTGCAAATTAATTGACTTTGATGTCCAGGAATTTCGGGAGGGCGCGCGTGCTTAGCTGACTGAGGAAATTGGGCTAGCTTTTCTAAATTGATGGTAGGTTGGTACATCAATGACTATCTACTATTAATCCTAGTTCCTACTAATATTATAATATAAATGCGAAAGTTTGGATGTCTGGATGTTTGTTACTCTTTCACGCAAAAAACTACTGAACGGATTTGGATGAAACTTTACAGTAGGTATTATTGTTTATAACCCAGAATAACATATAGGCTATAATTTATGACGATCTGTGACAAATTAAATTTCACGCGGGTGAAGCCGCGGGCAAAAGCTAGTCTTTTATAATATCAAAAGTCAATGTTTTCAGCATAGTATTTTTTAGTTTTTTATCACATGTTATAAAACAGAAGATGAGAATTTGACTTCATGTTTCATTCTAATAAGGCAGAAATATTTTTAGGCACTTGGCCATAGTCATAAACTATTTGCTATAAGCACAATACCACAAAACTTGGTAGGTGACTTAAGTACCCATAATAATATTAATTGAGCACCGCAGTGCATTGTGCATTCCTCTTAGCGTTAATAGCTTTGGTTATTAGTGTTAATTTTATGTTTCTGTAATAAGATACTATAATTTTCTACGAGTGTAATTTTATCACAGGAAAGCTTTTCAAACTGGCAATTAAATATTAGTGCTAATTATGGATGCGGAAAGTACAAGTAATGCATACCTTATTTACTGCTGAAAGCTGAGATTTTATTTATACAACAGGAGTGGTACAGTTTTATGTGTGAATAGGATCTGAGAAGAATTCTAAGTAATATTTATTATAATGTACCAATCAATAGAGGCTTAAGTTTCCTTCTATTCAAAACAGATAAAATTATGACAATAATTTTCATGAAAAGTATTATTTATCTAAATAACATTATCTATCTTAGATATCCAGTCCTTCCTCACAGACAAGCTTTTTTGGGAAAAGCAGTTACCTACCTACTTACCTTTTATGTAGGTAATTTTTTAAATATCATTATGTTTAGTGTTAAGGATTTAATTTAATTGATGGATGAACCATTCGATAGATAGATATCCTAACAACAACGGGACATCAAACAACACAGCGGCGTCTCATAAAGTTGTAAATGATACAATTTTGCAACAAAAAAGTATCAGAATTTCTGATAAAGGCCCAAACTACTAACCTATAAAAACAAAATAGTGTTTAATTCTAATACTTACAAATTATTAGATGCACTAAAATATCAATTTATCGGCCATGTTCATTGTTAGTTTCACATTATACACATAATTTATGATGAGAAAAATTAAAGAATTTCAGAAACTTAACAGCTGACAACAACAAAACAAACCTTGTTTTTTTTTTCACTTATCGCGTTTCTTGTCTATGATATAAATCTTGGTCTGAGGTCGCAAACAAAAATGATAGCGTCTCTTTTTATCTAATGCTCTTTTAGCATATGGAAGAGCGAGAAAGATAGTCTAATGTAATAGACAATTTACGTTTGTTTTTTAAAACTCTTTTGTAGTGTAGTAGTGTAGTTGGTCGTGTATCGATTACCATGATCGACTAATATTAATAATCATCTAGTTTCAATAAAATGTGAATTTAGTTGGTTGATTAAACTGCAATAATATTTTATTTAAAATGACATAATGTATTATTCTAGTTGAAACATACGTATTTTATTTCATAATATCTAATGCTGTACGTACAAATGCCATTATTAGGTGATAAGTAAAATATTTAGTAACTAAATATTTTACTATTTTACATAACTAAATTTTAGTTATGATAACTCAATAATTTTATTTATGAATAATAACGCAATTTTAACAATTCTGCGAGCTATGTCGGTCACTTTGGTTCTCCTGCGGATCTTCTCATTTCTGATTCGATCACGCAGGGAAACTGGACCGCAGGACATTGCAGGACCGTTCATTGTGGAAAACCTAGGGCGAGGCCTTTGTCCAGCAGTGGACGTCATTTGCCTAAAACGAATGAAAGAACGAATAACGGAATTAACACTATGTGAACATATTTTCATGGATGATTATGTTATTCTCTTAGATTGATTTGTAGGGCATAACACAAATGCGTAGTAAGATGTCTATCATCTCATTGGATAAGTTAGTGCTCAGGTTTAATTTAGTCTAAATAGGTATAATAAAATAATAAAGATAAGCAAACGGTAATTGAGGTTAGATGGAAGTAGGTAGGTACTTTATACATAAGCATAATACTACTAAATGAAGTAATTAAAATCTGGGTACCTTCTAATTACATGCAGGACCAGCCGATTGCATCCACCCAACTAGTTTTCACTTACCAGGTCGTTGATCGTAACATTTCCGTCACGAATTGATTTTTGTATGTGCAGTAGCACGAAAATAGCGTCCCGGGAACGACTGCGTACGCGCAGACAGTATGAAAATCCTACTCGGACGCCCAGCCCGTATCATGCTTATCCACAAATATCCCAAATTACGAGTACGGCAACCTTTGTAATATAATTCCTGAAATCGGAGTGTTAGAATAATAACTTCTTAGAGTGCCTGTGATATGAAAAATTACGAAATATGTGATCGTGAAATGTGATTGTTTAAAATAGTGCCTGGAAAGTGTCCAAGTGTATTGTGAACCTTAACCATACAAGGGCGCCTGCCCTTTTATGTCTGGTAATTTCAAGTTCCCTTTGTACCTATTGTTTTATTTTATTTAAGCAGAAAATATGATAATTTTTATTTTTTTAGCATTCATTACACAACTAGTGACTTGTAGGTTTATCAGTCAACTAAATTAGTACGTTAATGGACCATTATTAATTAACTGTACCTACCTAATTAAATTGAGGATTTAATTATTAGCTTATCATTATACTGTACTTATACATACACTTCATACACTAATTATGAAAAGGCACTTTTTAACTAGGTAATTTTATTTACAGAACAAATTTTAATGTCACGCCATTCAGTGTCTAAATCAGTAAGCTGTTGTTTGTTTCCATAGTTTTTGTTTCCTAAATTATTTTGATTTTTTTGTAAAAAAGGGGACTAAATAAAGGATATGCATTGCTGTAATAGATTGTAGATTTTTAATTAAAAAATCGATCTTCCAAGAAAAAATCCAGTCTGCGTCTGAGACAGTGACCCAGTTATCAGAATAGGTACAGGTGTACTAGTCTGAGGTACCTATTACCCAATCTAAATTTACCTACTCGCCTTTAATTACCAGCTGATTTTACATTATATGAATGTTATAATTTATAGTTAACATATAGGTGAGATTTGTAACTACATACATACCTACATAGCCCTAATAAAATCATCATCATCATCATCATCATCTCAGCCATAGGACGTCCACTGCTGAACATAGGCCTCCCCAATGCTTTCCATGTTTCCCAGTTGGTAGCAGTCTGCGTCCAGCGCTTTCCTGCTACCTTTATGATTAGGTACCCTTATACTCGTACATTGTAATTTTCACAATAATAGTAACATTCCTATTTTATTTGATGAAAGCGACAATCATTAATCCAATGTTCTAATACTTTTCTATCCAATACCCTTTTATTTTGGTACTAGTGCTAACACTGTGCTACATAAGGTATGTTTGAAATGAATTAAATTCGCATGATTCATCGTTTGATAAGTTAAATTTATAGGTTCCTTATTTTGTTAAATTAATTTATTAGATAGATAGGAGTTAATTTTAACAATATTTAAGTAGCTAACTATTACTAAAATAATAACCAAGTTTAAGAATGCTACCATCATCACTCCATTTTTTGTATGCTTAGGCTGAGTTGCACCACCTAACTTTAACGGTAACTATGACGATAACCGGTGCTTTTTGTATGGAGTTTGACAGATTTTTGACGTTTGTCAAAGTTAAAGTAAGATGATGCAACTCACCCTTAGGTCTTTAATACGCAACGGATTTTGATGCGGTTTTTCTAATAGATAGAGTGATTCAAATTGTACTGTGCAAAGGGCGGGTCTCTGGTGAAAATAAAAGTAAACAATAGGTCAAAATTCTCATATAAAATACCTACTTTTTAAACAACAGTTAACGTATAATCATCTTCCTAGATCCTTTGCCAACTAAATAATTATTATTGTTTGCATCCTTCTGGTGTCGTTGACCAACCTGGCAAAATGACAAACTTTTACTTATCTCTCCCATATTAATCAGTTAATATTATTGAAATAGTTTCAAAACATTGATCTGCATTAAGGAATATACTTACAAACCTGATTCATTGACTCTGAAACTTTATGTCTGTTAAATGAAAGAGCATACCTACAGAATAGATAGGTATTATTATTCTTAAAGCATACTAATTAAATTCTAGCACCAATACAAAAGTTTTTCATTACTTTTTTCTAGTTTTCTTTTTACTTCTCCAATTTACTGCGCTACCTCTGTCAAATAATTTAAAACAATAGTAAAGAATAAATAAATTATCGAATTCAATGCTTCATAAGAAAAAATAGTAATCTCTAAATAAGTTTCGTATCAAATCATTTAAAATGTGGTACTGATTGTACTGAAATACATTAAAGGGCATTGTAATTTCGTTAGTTATAATAATAAAATTATTTATCAATTTAGGAACAGGCGACGAATAGGTACACGATATGAATATTCAGTAATAATAAATCTGCCACCAACTATAACACATTGAAATCTATTTTTATCGAAGAGTCACCAAGTTTCTATTGTACAGTAACACATGTTCCCGAGGTAATCCGTCGATGACGTAGGTCTGACGTCACAGAGCCGTCTGGATCTGGAGTAGACATCAGCCCTGGCGATCGTCCAACATCATTCACTCAACGATTTCTTGAGAAATGGGGACAATTTGAACCTTCAAACAGAGACTAACACTTTCACAAAAATAACTTTGCATTTTACCTGAGGTCATTGGGTCATGAAGTCATGATGTTTATCGATGTTTTATTTTTCAGTTGTATAAGAATGAGTCATAGAAGAAACCAAAGATGAATAGTGGAGCAAGAAGGGCCTTGACTGGCTCCATACACAAAATCAGAGAGTTCGAACTTGAAAAAGTAAGGGTTCACAATGACATAAAATACGTACCTACTTAAGTATTGCAAACCCCTAGGTGCCTACATGTTTACTAATGAAACTTAATTTGTTGTTCTAGGTCAGCCTGGTTGAAGAGTTTGATATCCTTCAAATCGTTGGGGAAGGATGGTTTGGGAAGATACTTTTGGTAGAGCACAGAGCTTCTGATACTGAAATTGTTTTGAAAGCTTTGCCCAAACCTTATGTATCCATTAGAGATTTTTATAGAGAATTCCATTATAGTCTACATTTAAGTGCACACAGAAATATCGTCACCACATTCGATGTAGCGTTCGAGACGGCTGGCTTCTATGTATTCTGTCAAGAATATGCTCCTTTAGGTACCGACTATTTACATTTTTCAATTTATGAATGAATGGATGACGACAGCCACTGCCACTCAAACACAATGCATTATTTTGTACTAAAGTTTTCAGCTCACTATAATCTGCCAATATCTTTGCATTAACTAACTGCTATAATCCTATAGCTCACGTGCTTATATTGGACATTAGCCAGGATATGCAATGAAATTGTTGTAACATGTTATATTTTATCCTTTCAGGTGATCTAACATCTAACATGCTTGATACTGGAATAGGTGAAATACACACAAAAAGAGTGGCCAAACAATTAGCTGCAGCCTTGGAACACTTACATCAAAGAGATTTGGTACACCGAGATGTTAAACTTGACAATATTCTGATATTTAAGTCAGATTTTTCACGAATAAAACTTTGCGATTTCGGAGAAACAAGAAAAGTACAATCAATGGTCCGAAGAAGAAATGAATGGTTGCCCTATTCACCTCCAGAAGTTTTAAAACTAGCAATGGATAGTAGTTACAAGTAAGAAAACAACTAAATACCTACTTACTCGTTATTATACTATTATTTTAAATTTTTATTAATCACTTACCATCAGGTGAGATACAGGCCAAGAGCTTCCTCGTTGTGGATAAAAAAAATTACTCAGTGCATTTTAAACAATCTATAACCAGCTTCATTATTTTAGTAACAAAAAATTTAACAGCGTTTTGGTTTTTCAAAAACCACACTGTAAAATATTCATAGTTTATACATTAACCGTCATAAATTCTAGTGGAATGTAAACTTTAGAAACCATTATTATAATTTCAGACTAGTTAGTTTGTTTTTTGTTGCAGAGCGCTAATTACCCACGATGTTTGGCAATTTGGTATAGTTATTTTCATTTGCCTCACGGGGTGTTTACCTTGGCAGAAAGCTGCTTTTGACGATCCTAGGTATACAAGGTAAGCTCTAACTCATAGTGCGAAATTAGTGATGTATAGTAGTGGAAGTTATAAGGAAAAGTTATTTATGTGTGTACCTACTTTTTATTTTACAGTTATTATGGCTGGTACAATAGCGCCAACCCCTTGAAAAAGCAACCTAAGTTATGGAAAATGGTATCATCAAGAGCACAAAAAATGTTTAAAAAGTTTGTGGAACCTCGAGAAGAAAAGCGTGCATCGAATTTTGTTGAATTATCAAGATACTTAGATGATAGATGGATGGCAAAAGGGTATACTGATAGAGTTGGTAAGTAAATGTAAATCTGGGTTCTATGTAAAAATGTTTCGTATTAAAATAGCATAAATTTACTAATTTATTCTAATTACTTTTCAGCGGGAGGTGATATTGATGAACTTTGCCCGTCTATGTACAGCTTTCATAGTGACCCCAATGAAAAAAATATTTTGCTCAAACATTTCCGAGACAATGGAATTGAAACAACTGTCGATCGTCAAGTGAAAAAACAAAGAATACGAGAATGGATCCAAAACAGTGTTATTGAAGAAGCTGATGAAGAAGTTAGTTAAAATAAAAATGAACAATGCCCAAGTACTCAATAAAAGCTGTTTATTTACCTATTTAATTATTAATGTGATGTTCTCTTTTCAGGAGGAGAGTGCCTATGAACATAGCGTCTACGATGACAGCGATGCTGAATTAGAAGACAGATCGCGACCACATCCCATCGACGAAACACATAGAGTAACCCTTCGGTATGACACAGAGAAACATATTAATCCGAGAACAGGCGAGATTGTTGAAGGTGTTAAACACCAACCAACAGAAAAAAATCCTCTATCTTACGATGTCCAAAACATTGAACCTGTTGCTCCTGTAAATGTTGTCAGAAGATACGGCGTTAAAGAAGAAGGTTCATCGCATAGCTCTACCAAAGATAGTGCTTACGGTTCAATGGAAGTTAAAGTTAATTCATCAACAAAAATGACTTATAAAGCTGAAAATAAACACTTGACATCCTTAGATAGCACTCAAAATTCTCCAAGTAGATCTCTTAGTGGTTCTTCTATTCAACAGAACCGTTCCCCTCTTACTACTCATGCCCAAAGGATTCAAAGAAGTGAAGAAGTATTTTCAAGAGAATTGGAAAGTAGAGGTAGCTCAACTACTATTCACTCGTTAGGAAATTCTTCACGTTCCAATAGTCTTCAAGTGACTCGTAATGGTTCTTTAGATAGTGCATCCAATGCAAACATTGAAGTTCCCGTGCAAATTGAAAATGTGTCAGCCAGGACTAACATTCCCGTTGTAAGTCAGAATGGATTTAGTCCTGGTGGAAAGCCACCACAACCAACATCATCAACATCAAACCCATACGTATCTTTAAAAAACACAGTTTATGATAGAGTCAATAATACTCGCAATGAAACGACCAATAACAATACAGTTGATAATTATTCCAATAACCAGTCAATGGACAGTCCTTATACATCAATGATGAATATTATACAAGGCCAAATGAAAATCTCTCCACACGGCAATGAACTAAACCGAAATGTAGTTGATGTATCTGTTACTACTCAGAATAAAAGAAATTAAAATTGCTCAAATTACTTAGTTATTACTTTGCAACCAAAATATCACTACTTAAAGAAGCTGGTGAAGTTGGTATTTATAAAGTTTACAATGATTATTAAGATTGTTGATCATAAAACACAAAAGTGGCAATATCATGGTTATTGTATAATGATAGTAGGTATATAATTTAAATAAGAAATGTTTAAACCTTTGTTTAAAACTTTATTTATAGCTATGTTAGTTAAGTTTATTTTTATACTTAAAATTAATTAATTTGACATTATTTTATATACGTAATTGTTATGCTATATAGTAAGTTAAAGACATGTATTAATATCTTCTCAATAAATTATTGTACTTTTTGATTATGATGGCGTTACTTATTGAAATAAAAGTGCTCTGTACTTAACTTTTTTTCCCTTTTAACTCCTCACTGAGAATCGAATTGATTGATTTTTTACCTTAAATAATGAGGCCGCGTACCGGAAAACGCAGCGTGGGATGTCCACCCACAAGGTGGACCGACGACAGGAAGGCGCTGGCGCTGGACTCTGGCCGCTACCAACCGGGCAACATAGAAAGCATTGGGGGAGGCCCTATGTTCAGCAGTGGACATCCTATGGCTGAGATGATGATGATGATGATGATGAATGTTTTACCTTCCGGAAACCGAAAAGTTTTTTAAACGTCAAGGTAAAGGAAGTGTAAGAAAATAAAATAAAACTAGTTAATTTAAGATAACGATTTTAGTTGAATAGTTCTAATAATTAAATCGACTAAGTACATCACTACCGCAGCTGCACAACCGTGACATATGGCACTGACTTCTGACGTAAGCTGTCAAAATTAAATTCGTACCGCCGCGTTTGACGATACCGTATTTTAGTGATGGGCCAACTCGTAAAAAACAAAACTCGATTTAACCCGAGTTAAAATCCACATAACTCGGGTTGAACTCGAGTTACGTAACTCGAGTTAACTGGGTGGACAAATGAATGCTTTTTTTAATTTTTACCAGTTTAATCCCTCAGCTTCGCATTAATAGTTAAAAAAATTGGACCAGAATTTTTCACTATCTGAAATAGCTGCAAATCTTTTACTATTAAAATAATTAAAGCGTTAATACCAGAAATTTTGTCCGAAACGTCCACTCTTTGGCGATTCGAATACATCCCAAACTAAAGAATTTCTTTTAGGACCCGGCATTTTTCAAAAACAGAACTTAAAACACAAAAATCTACAACAATAACCGGTAGTTTCTGTCGGTTCCATACAGTTTACGAACTCGAGTCAGAGAGAATTCAACTCGAGTGGGCTCGAGTTACGCCCAACTCGAGTTAACTCGAGTTAGGTACTCGAGTTGACCATCACTACCGTATTTATTTTACAATGGAAATTGTTTCTTCATAACCTTATCGTACATGCGAAGTCATAACGGTTGTCCAGTTTTATCTTAATTCAAATATATTTACTTAATAGAAAGCTTAGCTAACTTAATTATGAACAAAATAATAACCTAACCTCTCCTTATTAGTTTACAGTTTTAAGTTAAAAGTAGTTATTAAATTCCTTAGTGAAATGCAGAAATTACAAGATAGCGTATTTTCTATTGTGAAGACAACAAATTTGTCACCTGCTGTGTTTAGTTTTTTGCAGCCGACCGAAGATAATAATTCCGGTATGTATGGCGTTTTATTAATGACTACATAATTATAAATAGTTCAAGTAGATCATAATATAAGCAATGTAATGTAATGGTATATGAAATCAAATGTTTTTGACTAAACTATTATTTTTTAGATAAAACCCCCCTTGGTGGTATTCTAAATGACACCAAACATGGCTGGCTTGCACTGGGGCCCAAATTCTGCGTCGTCGACCTTAGAACCGGGCTGAAGGTGGCAGCACGAACTTTTGGGACACCATACAGGTATTATATTATAATATTGTCATGTACAGGCTGTCACATCAAGGTAATCACTGTGGGATCTTAAGTAGTTATAACAGGGGCGAATTTGCAATAAAAATGTATAGTCTGATGTGCTGTTGTCTGTTCAAGACATTTTATGAATGTTATTTCTTCACATAAAAGCAACTGGATTGATTTTGATAATAAATTGCGATTATACAGCTTGCACCTTCTTCAAAATAGCATGAGGCTGTAATATAAAGCTGAGGACAGAAGCTAGTTTCATTACAAATCTTGTCACCCATTCGTTTATTGTAATTTTCACGATACAAACATTTAATTTTCATGTTTTCTTTCAGCAACTCCCGCACAACAGTCACCAGTGTAGTGGAGCTTATTACACCTCTGACGGAGAATTCCAAGCAACTTATAATCAGTTTGCAATGCGAAGACTTCACGAGCAACATTTGCGTATTCCACATCAACGGCTCACAGATACTGCGATGCATTCAAACCGATTTAGTTGTGACAGAACTGGCAGTGTGCGATGACATGCCTGACGGCCCTTTCACATGCTTTGATGGTGTTGTAATGGCCGGCACAAAAACTGGAGAGATTTTTGCGTTTGATCTCAATAGATCTGGCCTTATTCAAGGTATTATTTAATTTTAAGTTTATTTATTTATTCACAACAACACTTCCCTGTCATCAATATACTCTTTTCATATAAACAGTTTGCTGTACGATATTGAAACAGTCAATCACAATAGCAGTGTCTATCGTACGGGACTTTGATACTTGTCACTACTGCAATAGGGAACAGGAATCAAATACACAACTAGTAACCACCTACATACAAACCTACACATAACATATAACAAAGAATGATGCCTTTATAAATTCACTCAGAAAGAAGTTAAAGTAAAGTTTATTAATTAAAGAATATAGATTACTTTGTAACTAACAAAACATTTAGGCCAGTATTTTGTGATGTTTATAACTTTAATTATAATTGAAATGTGTTTTTACAGCATTAAAAGACATTACCCAAGGCTATGAACACATGATTCAAAATGAGAGCAATCCAGCCAACCTGACCTTCTTGCCTTTAAAAGCGATTCATCAAATCGAAGAGCAACGGGACCTAGTTCTTGTAAATAACGATCATCTAGCCATTCTGCTGAATGAAAGCTCAGTAATGGACGGCCAGTACATATTCCACAATCCTGATGGCACAGTCCGGATGAAGGCTAAAAGGGATCACATCAGAGTTACTGTGCTTCAGTACATCCCACAGCTGGGAAGCTTGGCTGTGGGCTACAATTTTGGTGCATTCCAGATTTGGAATTTACTAACACTGGATTTGGAATTCACTTCTCAAGTCAATGTGGAGTGCTTGCCTGTGACGCACTTTGGGTTTCAGGTATTGAGATTTATTTATATTCCTATTATTATTTATACTTTATTTGAGCTTTTGAGTCACAGTTCTCCCATAGATTTTGAATTGCAATACAAGCCACTATTTTTTTTTTATCCACAACAAGGAATCTCTTGGCCTGTATCTCACCTGTTGGTAAGTGACGATCAGGCCGAAGGTGGAAGCGAGCTTCACCTGAAATCCTCAACCACGGAGGCCTATATCATTAACAACTCACTTTAGAAACCATAATGTATGTTTATTCAAAACTAAATGTTCTTTTTCTCTTTTAGGAGCCTTGTGACGATCCTCGAGCATTCTGCTACCTCTGGGTTGTCTTCTCCCTGATAGACAGGTTTGAAGAAGAGGAGTTCCCACTGGCTGTCATGTACTCACTTACATACCAAGGAAAGAGGATGCTGTCTGACACCAAGTGTCTCTATCAGGTAAGATTTCAGATGTTCATTTTAATTATGCAAGCTGACCTAGTAAAATAGTTAGTTAAATAACTAAGGCTGGTTGGCCCCAATGTTCTTTCCAATGCCTCTCAACCAATGTGTGGTTCTAGAAAATACATATCTTGTCCCAGTTGGTGTTAATACTATTTTCTAGATTCATGGACATGTGGGTTTGGGACCAAAGTAGGGGCCAGTGTAAACCCAGCACCCTAGTGTTAATTCCAATGCCTCTCAACCAACATGTGGTACTAGAAAATACATAGCTTGTCCCAGTTGCTTGGTGGTGCTAATTTCTAGATCCACGAATGTGTGGCAAATGTGCAAAAGCCAGCATAACACCAGCACCTCAATTTATACAGGGTCTTTTGTTTATTGTTTTCAGGACTTCTCAATGGCCACAATAAGATTCCAAGCAGAGCTCAGCGCAATGGAAGATGCAGGACATCTAACTGGAGGCAAATGTGTCTCATGCCACACATACTCTGTGAACTCTAGCTTGGGCTCTGAAGGAGAAGATAGTAAGTAACATTTTTCCACTTTTTATAAAGCTAAATGCAATAAAAATCTACTTATCTAACACTAGCTGTGCTGTCTTTACTGCTCTGCCGCTATTGGCTGTAGGGTAATGTTAGCCTTCCTCGATAAATCAAACCTCAGCTTTATAATATTGGTTTGACTTTATTTTATGACTTTAGACTTCTGAATACCTGTACTTTTTAAAATAAATAATATTAATATTTTTGTTACAGCTATGTTGAACATCTGCCAACTGGTATGGGAATGTTGGGGCGACAATGCGAATGCCTCCTCACAATATGGCATGCTACTCTTTGATTTGGACCAGTGGTACAAGGATCAAATGCCTGGTAATTTATTTATAAATCTCTTGTTTCATCATATACATATCGTTATAAGAATGTATTATTTATGTTTTTTTTGGTGAGAAATGACGACCTTGTTTTTGTTCGTACGCGTCGCGGTAAAGCTGTAACTATGGCTGATCGATACGATTCACTTGTGTGGGTGTATGAAGCCTTGAACAAATAAGGCTTACTGGTCTATGCATAATATTGCTGGTCCATTACCAATACTATTTAATTTTCGAGCATAGTCTGTTATTTTACTAGTTCCACTGGTCATTTCATAGTCTGTTATTTAACTAGTCATACTGGTCATGTCACTAGTCTCACTGGTCGACACTAGTTACACTGTTCATGCCACTAGTCACTAGTTTTGCCTCTAGTCTCAATGGTCATGTAACTAGTGATATAATTCTTGCAACTTACGAAGGCGAGTGAGCTTTACTTGTGTGTGTACGTGTACTACATGCACATAACGATAGAGTAATCTGTCAAAACGTTTGAAAAACGAAAAGTAGCGAGCCACCATACATGTAAAGCACTGGCCTTCGTGAATTGCAACAACTATATTACTCATACTACATACAATTTACACTAGTAATCTTTCCCAGCGACCTACCGCCTGGAGAGCAACGTGTTCATGAGCGCTAGCTGGTGCAGCCTAGCGGCCGGCGCGTGCGTCACGCTCGACGTGCGCCTCGAGCCCGCGTCCGTGGCGCCCTACGCGCACGCCACGCGCCTGGAGGAGCACCTGTACCCCAACAGCATCCAGTACAGTGAGTGCCACTAGTCGCCACTAGTCACCACTAGTCAAGCTGCTCGTGCCACTAGTCGCGCTCGACGTGCGCCTCGAGCCCGCGTCCGTGGCGCCCTACGCGCACGCCACGCGCCTGGAGGAGCACCTGTACCCCAACAGCATCCAGTACAGTGAGTGCCACTAGTCGCCACTAGTCACCACTAGTCAAGCTGCTCGTGCCACTAGTCGCGCTCGACGTGCGCCTCGAGCCCGCGTCTGGAGGAGCACCTGTACCCCAACAGCATCCAGTACAGTGAGTGCCACTAGTCGCCACTAGTCGCCACTAGTCAAGCTGCTCGTGCCACTAGTCACACTGGCCACGCTCCTGCATTTGTCAGCCGGGCCCTTACGGCCCAGTCCGACCCTGGATACATTCTTATAATGTGTACTTCTACATCTTGATTTATGTCTCCTTAGAGATTAAGTTTTTAAAACTATTTGTCTACAAAAATATGTAATATATAGCCTGACCAGGAACATAAAAACCCTCGCCATGTTGCGGAAATCTAATGGTACTAATTTCTTTTAATGGCAACAATAACTAAAAACTTCATTGACATGTCACCTTGCATGTCAGTCTATTGCTGTCAAAGTGTAAACAAACTTTATTTTAAATGTGCGCAATTGATTTTGTGAATTTAATTGCTAAAATCTTTTTATAGTCGTGAAATAAAAGTGGTTCACAATGTATTCAAGTATTTGTCAAAGATAAATAATAAGGGTTCGGACAATATTTTCATTGAATATTTTTTCCGACAAGGGTGTCAAATTGACTGACATGTTTATCGTATAGTACAGTCCACTATGAAAATTAGCTGTGGTTTGTTTCAACTACCTATTTTAAAGTTTTTTGTCACTTTCTAAGTGTTGAATTTTATGGAATTGGGAAAGAAGTACTGAGTTTGAAGCCTTCATGAGCAGACATTGCAGTTGAATATTCAAGTTCTGAATTTGATTATTGATGAATAATAAAATAAATCCTACTAGCTCGATTGATGGTTTCATTTAATTTATTTAAACCAGGTTACCTATAATAATATGTTTTCGTTAATTTATGAAAATATTAAATTAGCCCGTAATCCTGAATCCTGATACATAAAGTTAGCCTATTAATTTAACACAGGTACGACTGTACTCAGTGTTGCACTATCAAATGCAATTGATGCGCCTCTATGCCAGGGTTTTTATGTTCCTGGTCAGGCTATAACTATTAAAAAGTTATACACCCCTGCTATTCCTAATGACCATGACATTGGGTTTGTTTACATTTGGTATCGCTTCTCGTTGGCTGTTCTTTTGACGACTGTCTGTCTAGGATATTAATTTCCAAACCTGTTTTTCATTGTCACTCCCTTTAATTAGCTTAATCATTGTATTCTTTCGCAGACTGCATCTGCCTGAACACATCCGAAGCGTGTGTACTAAGCACAGTCGGAATCCAGCGGCAGATCATCAGCTCTATGGACGACGTGGGCCCCACGGCGCTTCTAAGCCCCGGCCGGCTGTACCACGCCTGCGTCACCGCCGGCCTGGCGCCCATGTACGCAGACACCTCGCGAAGCCCCGGCCAGGTACTGTAGGGCAGGGTTTCCCAATTTTTTTTTGCCAAGAAACCCTAATCTATACATATAAAAGAAAGTCGTGTTAGTTACTTCGCTTATAACTCAAGAACGGCTGAACCGATTTAGCTGAAAATTGTCAGGGAGGTAGTTTAGAGCCAGGAGAAGGACATAGGATACTTTTTATCCCGTTCGAAATTAAAAAAAAGTCTGCTTATTTATTGCCATTAAGGCGGAACAAAGTTCGCCGGGTCAGCTAGTTGATTATACTTTTCCTAGCGGAACCCCCGTACCACTCCGCCCGCACGCCCTGCCCCTCCCTTGTGCGTAAACAAGTCGGTGCGAGCGAACAACGTCGGTCACGAAACGTGGGATAATATTTTTTACGGAACCCTTGCGGCCTTTCCACGGAACCCCAGGGTTCCGCGGACCACCATTCGGGAACCGCTGCTGTAGGGACCCAGCGGGGACCATAGCTCAATGGACGACGGCCCCATGGGGTTGCTGAGCCCCGGCCGGCTGTACCACGCCTGCGTCACCGCCGGCCTGGCGCCAATGTACGCGGACACCTCGCGAAGCCCCAGCCAGGTACTGTAGGCTGCCCAATTTTTTTTGCCAAGGAACCCTAATTGATTATACTTTTCCTAGCGGAACCCCCGTACTACTCCGCCCGCACGCCCTGCCCCTCCCTTGTGCGTAAACAAGTCGGTGCGAGCGAACAACGTCGGTCACGAAACGTGGGATAATATTTTTTACGGAACCCTTGCGGCCTTTCCACGGAACCCCAGGGTTCCGCGGACCACCATTCGGGAACCGCTGCGTGTAGGGACCCAGCGGGGACGTCTGAGGCGTGCGTACTAAGCACAGTCGGAATCCAACGTCAGATCATCAGTTCTATGGACGATGTGGGCCCCACGGCGCTTCTAAGCCCCGGCCGGCTGTACCACGCCTGCGTCACCGCCGGCCTGGCGCCCATGTACGCAGACACCTCGCGAAGCCCCAGCCAGGTACTGTAGGGCAGGGTTTCCCAATTTTTTTTTGCCAAGAAACCCTAATCTATACATATAAAAGAAAGTCGTGTTAGTTACTTCGCTTATAACTCAAGAACGGCTGAACCGATTTAGCTGAAAATTGTCAGGGAGGTAGTTTAGAGCCAGGAGAAGGACATAGGATACTTTTTATCCCGTTCGAAATTAAAAAAAAGTCTGCTTATTTATTGCCATTAAGGCGGAACAAAGTTCGCCGGGTCTGCTAGTTGATTATACTTTTCCTAGCGGAACCCCCGTACCACTCCGCCCGCACGCCCTGCCCCTCCCTTGTGCGTAAACAAGTCGGTGCGAGCGAACAACGTCGGTCACGAAACGTGGGATAATATTTTTTACGGAACCCTTGCGGCCTTTCCACGGAACCCCAGGGTTCCGCGGACCACCATTCGGGAACCGCTGCGTGTAGGGACCCAGCGGGGACGTCTGAGGCGTGCGTACTAAGCACAGTCGGAATCCAACGTCAGATCATCAGTTCTATGGACGATGTGGGCCCCACGGCGCTTCTAAGCCCCGGCCGGCTGTACCACGCCTGCGTCACCGCCGGCCTGGCGCCCATGTACGCAGACACCTCGCGAAGCCCCAGCCAGGTACTGTAGGGCAGGGTTTCCCAATTTTTTTTTTGCCAAGAAACCCTAATTGATTATACTTTTCCTAGCGGAACCCCCGTACCACTCCGCCCGCACGCCCTGCCCCTCCCTTGTGCGTAAACAAGTCGGTGCGAGCGAACAACGTCGGTCACGAAACGTGGGATAATATTTTTTACGGAACCCTTGCGGCCTTTCCACGGAACACCAGGGTTCGGCGGACCACCATTCGGGAACCGCTGCGTGTAGGGACCCAGCGGGGACCATAGCTCAATGGACGACGGACCCACGGGGCTGCTGTGCCCCGGCCGGCTGTACCACGCCTGCGTCACCGCCGGCCTGGCGCCCATGTACGCGGACTCCTCGCGAAGCCCCAGCCAGGTACTGTAGGCTGCCCAATTTTTTTTTGCCAAGGAACCCTAATTGATTATACTTTTCCTAGCGGAACCCCCGTACCACTCCGCCCGCACGCCCTGCCCCTCCCTTGTGCGTAAACAAGTCGGTGCGAGCGAACAACGTCGGTCACGAAACGTGGGATAATATTTTTTACGGAACCCTTGCGGCCTTTCCACGGAACCCCAGGGTTCCGCGGACCACCATTCGGGAACCGCTGCGTGTAGGGACCCAGCGGGGACCATAGCTCAATGGACGACGGACCCACGGGGCTGCTGTGCCCCGGCCGGCTGTACCACGCCTGCGTCACCGCCGGCCTGGCGCCCATGTACGCGGACTCCTCGCGAAGCCCCAGCCAGGTACTGTAGGCTGCCCAATTTTTTTTTGCCAAGGAACCCTAATTGATTATACTTTTCCTAGCGGAACCCCCGTACCACTCCGCCCGCACGCCCTGCCCCTCCCTTGTGCGTAAACAAGTCGGTGCGAGCGAACAACGTCGGTCACGAAACGTGGGATAATATTTTTTACGGAACCCTTGCGGCCTTTCCACGGAACCCCAGGGTTCCGCGGACCACCATTCGGGAACCGCTGCGTGTAGGGACCCAGCGGGGACCATAGCTCAATGGACGACGGACCCACGGCGCTGCTGAGCCCCGGCCGGCTGTACCACGCCTGCGTCACCGCCGGCCTGGCGCCTATGTACGCGGACACCTCGCGAAGCCCCAGCCAGGTACGTAGTTCGGTACTACAGGGGACCCAGCAGGGATCATAGCTCGATGTACGACTGGGGGGAGGGCCCACGGCGCTGCTGTGCCCATGTACGCGGACACCTCGTGGAGCCCCGACCAGGTGTGTACTGGGGACCCAGCGGGGATCACAAACGATAGCTCGATCGACGACGTGGGCCCCACGGTGCTACTGACACCTACTTACGGAGCCCAAGCCAAGAAAAAGTGGTTTTTGATAGTTGTTCGTCGTTTGGACCGAACAACGTCCCCTGCTGGACACCTCCAATAGAGTTTCTGCGATAGACTGCGTTGCCCGCATCCAGACTCTTCTCGTGACCTTCACCACAAGTGTGCTTAGTATAAATGAGTTTACGACGGCGATTGCGAAAAAAAATTACATTAAATGAATGACAGATTGTACCGCGCCCCTAGTGGCTACTTTTAAGAACTAAATTGTTCATAGATTTTTTGACGCACTCGCTAGCGACACGTAAACGTAAACTCATGGTAAGCACACAGATCGTCGATCCACTGAATAAGAATCCTACACTACATTTCCTGGTTCGCGTTCACTACTCAAGAACTTTTCTGTCCCAACTGAACTTTTTGTACGTACAGTAGTATGTATTTTATGGTTTTTGTGCAGGAAGAGCAACGCAGATACCTGTTATCAGTGGCGCTTGAAGCGCGCCTGTCTCGCTTCCTGAAGCGCTGCGCGCACGACTGGGCCACGGGCAGCCATGCCGGCGCTGGTTGCACCTTGCCTTTTCTAGTAATTTCCATTTTATTTTATCATCACTAGTAATAGCGCTGTTTCTAATTAATTCTATTTAGCCTAGGCGCAGACCACCGACTTTTAGTTTGCCGATAGTTGGGCCCGATTCTAATTTGTATGAGGAAACGGCCAATCCCAAATCGGTAGTGTGCGCACTTCCATACATGTATTGTCCATACTGATTAACTGCCCGACTAAACTATCGGCAGGTCATATAGTCTTCACTGCCACATGTAGAGAATCTAGATATTCAATCTAGATTCTCATTTACCGAAGGTAAATAGGGGATTTGGCCTATTACACAATACAGGTCGTCGTTGAAAGATAGCTTACATCATTTTGTCTATAAAAATGCTAAAAATACATGATATGATTTCATTATGACGTAAGCCTTTGCAAAAAAGTTTGTTTTTACAGTATTCGATCATCAATTCGCGCTTAACTTAGTTGTAAGACGCACAGTATTGTCTAAGTTCTGAAACATACATATTTAAGATAAGTTTTAATTTCATTTTTTCTTGTATATAGGTTGATTGGTGCTGGCAGCGCGCTATAGAACTGAAAGAGAACGCTAGAGAACTCACAGCGCCTCTCTTTTCTTCTTCCGCATTGCCTGACAGGTAAAAAAATTATCACTTAACATAAATATAAATAAGAACATATTTCGCTCAGCAAGATAAAGTGGTTAGCCAATTACTGGATTTAGAAAAGTATGTATTTTGTTACAGAAATGTAGTCAGATGCTTAGAGCATTGCGTGCAACAACTAACTCAACTGACAGGCCTGTTGGATGCAATCCTAACTAAATGCTGCAATTTGGTTGTGCCTGATGGTAAGTAAACTTTACTTTGTAATATATTACTGCTCTTTCATTACTTTTTTATGTGTGTCTTTGAGGCCACCTCTCATTTGAACATGAAAATTACTTCCTATTTCATCAAATTTTTTTTTTATAATAATGAATGACATAAGATATTTGATCTACAAAGGTAGGTTTATGTTAAAAAAAGTTTTAACATAAACCTATTTCTCGAAGTGTTCCAAATTCGTATAATATTTCCCAGCTCTGAGCGAAATGGAGGAGAAGTACAAAGGGATCGGCTGCGTATCGCTGTACCTACGCGTGGTGCAGTGGTTCCTACGTGTAGGACTGCTGCCTGAGAGACTCCTGGCGAGGGACGCGCTGCCCTATCCGGCACATCACTTGCTTCACACCTACACCAAGCGGTGAGTGTTGTTATAGTCACAGTCAGCTATCAGTGAATAGAAGTACGAAGGGATCGGCTGCGTATCGCTGTACCTACGCGTAGTGCAGTGGTTCCTACGTGTTGGACTGCTGCCTGAGAGACTCCTGGCGAGAGACGCGCTGCCCTACCCCGCGAATCACCTGCTCCACACTTACACTAAGCGGTGAGTGTGGTTATAGTCACAGTTAGCTGACAGTGAACAGAAGTACGAAGAGGTCGGCTGCGTATCGCTGTACCTACGCGTAGTGCAGTGGTTCCTACGAGTGGGACTGTTGCCTGAGAGACTCCTGGCGAGGGACGCGCTGCCTTACCCCGCGCATCATCTGCTGCACACTTACACTAAGCGGTGAGTGTGGTTATAGTCACAGTCAGCTAACAGTGAACAGAAGTACGAAGGGATCGGCTGCGTATCGCTGTACCTACGCGTGGTGCAGTGGTTCCTACGTGTAGGACTGCTGCCTGAGAGACTCCCCTTAATAAGAACAGGTTATGCACAAACGAAAAGCTAAAGCTCTTATTTAGTTGTAATAGGAGCGATTTTGCTACAAAAATGTAGTCTGATGTGCTGTCGTCTGGACCTAAAATAATCACTTCTAACCACCCAGTAATATGTGGAGGGCATTTTATATGACTTGTTTTATTGTCTAAAATAAATAGGGATGCATAATGAAATTTTTTTTTTTCAGACGCATGAAACTTCAACGACTAGAAGATAATTCACCAGTGGAAAATAATGTGAGCAAATCCTGTTCGCTGCTGTACATAGATCAACTCATTGAAAATGAATTCGGAGGCGAAAGGATACACGAGTAAGTTACGCAGTCATCTTAAAGAATTATTGATGATTTTTACACTGATCTTTGACCTTAAATTTTGAATTATTTGTAAATGTGTAAATTCGTCACACTTCATTCATTTTTTGTAACAAATTGGCTGGCGGTTTAAAATTCACGTTTGTGATGAATTTCTTTCAATATGTCAAACTTACAATATCATGGAAGAATCGCCTTTATGGAAAATTGAGAATAACCCGGTAATCTTTCAATTATCATCAGTACATTGTACTTTGACTTCAATTATCCTTTTCCTAAGTTCTCTGGAAAAGTTACCCATCGATATGACCACCTAAATTGTTTACGCTCGTATCAACTCGCACCAACGATGCTTGCTTAAGTGAAGCAGCAAACAGAACGCACAGCGTTGAATAGAGCTCTGTGTTTAGTTCGTGTGATGTGCGTCTACGCGCACTGTGTGTTATCATAGCTGTGATACAGCACAGCACTCATAGTAATGTTTGTGAATACGGGCGTTAGTTTCGATTTTGTATTTTTTTTTGTCTGTTTTTTTGTGGTGTGCAATAAAAAGTATCTATCTATATTTCTTTTTCTGTAGAATGTGGCTAGGCGGCGGCAGCGAGTGCAACGGACTGTACCCGCCGCCATCTCTGTATTCTCTGCTGCGACTGTACCTGCTGCCGGACATCGCCGAGGAGCAGAAGCACTCGCTGGTGCTGTACCTGCTGGTGGACTACTCCGTGGTGTACGATGACGTCAGGTGAGCCTTGTCTGCGGCAGCGAGTGCAACGGACTGTACCCGCCGCCGTCCCTCTACACGCTACTACGACTGTACCTGCCTGTAATGAGCCACATTGCCGGGGACTAAGCCACATTGCCAGGGACTCGCATTGCCGGGGACTAAGCCACATTGAAGGGGACTGAGCCACTGCCGGGGATTGAGCCACATTGCCGGGGACTGAGCCACATTGCCGGGTACTGAGCCACTTTGCCGGGGACTGTACCTGCTGGTGGACTACTCCGTGGTGTACGACGACGTCAGGTGAGCCTTGTCTGTGGCAGCGAGTGCAACGGACTGTACCCGCCGCCGTCCCTCTACTCGCTGCTGCGACTGTACCTGCTGGTGGACTACTCCGTGGTGTACGATGACGTCAGGTGAGCCTTGTCTGTGGCAGCGAGTGCAACGGACTGTACCCGCCGCCGTCCCTCTACTCGCTACTGCGACTGTACCTGCCTGTACTGAGCCACATTGCCGGGGCCGGGGACAAAGCCACATTGCCGGGGACTGAGCCACATTGCCGGGGACTGAGCCACATTGCCGGGGACTGAGCCACATTGCTAGGCACTAAGCCACATTGCCGGGGACTGAGCCGCATTGCCGGGGACTGAGTCACATTGCCGGGGACTGGGCCACATTGCCGGGGACTAAGCCACATTGCCGGGGACTAAGCCACGTTGCCGGGGATTGAAATGCCGCGGACGAGGCAGCCGCTAGGCCCGAGCTTTCCTCTAGCTAGTGAATACGCGGCATGCGCATAATTTTGAGTCTCATTATTACACCCTACATTGAGTTTAAACATGATTATAATTATGTAATATTTATTCCTTCAGGCACGAAGCTGTGATTCGCCGCTTGATGCAGTTCCCGACCATGTTCGGCCTGAGCAACACTGCTATCAAAGCCACGCAGGCTTTTTGGCACTTGGACCATAGAGACTTTGATGTGAGTATATTAAAGTGAGCGTCAAATCGTTCGTGACACCCAAATTAGCCAAAAAGTACGCAACAGGTCTTTGTTATGCTGGGGCCACATTAGCGACTAACGTCAATGCCCACTAGTGCGATAATACTGACTTAGTGTGGTGTGGCCGCTTCAGCGCATTAATTCTCGCGTTAATCTCTTTGAGCTATCGCCTAACGCCAAACGGCAATGTTATTGCCGTTGTCAAATTATCGCGCTATGTTGTGGCTACACCTACGGTTAACGTCCATTATCGCAATAATTAAGGCATTTCTCGTTAGTGTGGCCCAAGCATTACAGTTGGAAAAAGGTTGTGTTGTGAACTTTTTGACCACTTTGGGTGTCGCGAACAATTTGACGCGGACTGCACACGACCTATGTTTACCTTTATAAAACATACAACATGGAATGCAATCTATTATTTTGTCCGCAGTTCGCCCTAGACCAACTGCAATGTCTAACCGGCAACACTCTATCGGAGTGGCAACACAGCGTCGTGCTATCTTCTCTGCTGGCACAGAAGAAGACTCAGGCTGCTCTCCAATATTTGCACGTCAGGTATGTTTCTATGGACACTCGATGGCTGGACAGTTGTAAAAAATACACGAAAAACTGTGCACATCAATAATAAACACTTACGGCTTACGCTAAAACTTTGCGGACACACGCGTGTCTGTATCGAAAAATAGTATGAGCAGCGAAGTGTGGCGCGGACATAATAATATAAGAACCAAAGCAGATGATGCGTTGCGGTGGCGGAGCGACGCCGGAGCGGTGTCGTTGCGTCGTCTTACATAGAAACATCTGTGGCGGACACGCCTAGTTGCACGATACGGCGAAATCTTTGCGGTGTGGCACTGCAACGCATCGTGTGCTTTGGCTCTAAGATGATTTCCCCCCGGCGAAAGACGGCTGTGTTTTTGCGTGGATTAATAAGCGGGCGCAATTAATTTGCCTTTTTTTTTCAGGAAACCAGCCCCAATCCAGTACAAAGACCCAGAGACAATGAACTCCAGTCGCGTCGGAGACCAAGACAAGTTGGACGACTGGCAGGCCTGCTGCAGCCTGTACCTGGCGCGCGGGCTGGCCTTCGAGGCGCTGGACGTGGCGCGCTCGTGCGTGCGCAGCGCGCGCAGTACAGACGACCAAGTGCGCGTGCTCAACTACTTCTTCCGAGGTACAGACCTGTAGCCTTATTCACGTAAAAAAACTTCAACGACAACAAAACACTGAGTTGCGATCCTATCGAGTAATCATTCTATCGAAAATGACCCTTGTGAATACGGATTTAGAACTGTTTTTCAATGGGACTACTTCTGACGAGGACGTCCCACGCAGCGTTTCCCGGTACGCGGCCTCCATTCCAGAACCTTGCTGCGCCATCGGCCGTCAGTTCTGCGTACTATGTGCCCTGCCCATTGCCACTTCAGCTTGCTAATCCGTAACTGTGCTGTGCCACAGAATAATAACAATTATGTACTACGTACAAAGGGCGTCTGCCGTGTTGTGACAGCAGAGCCGAATACATTTGTCAAAAACCCCTACTCTTCCCGCGGGTGTCGTAAGAGGCGACATAGACTACACATAACAATGTTAACAGCATTGTTGTGTTCCGGCAGTTAGAGGTAAGATAGCCAGTTCCTCCGTGGTTGAGGATTCCGGGTGAAGCTCGCTTCCACCTTCGGCCTGATCGTCACTTACCATCAGGTGAGATACAGGCCAAGAGCTTCCTCGTTGTGGATAAAAAAAAAAACATCAAACAAAAAACGGGCAGCTGCGCTCTCTGGAAAACATCAATCTTTTAAACTGCGATCTCTGACCCGCCTGCCAAGCGTGGGGATTATGGCAAAACCTTCGGCTCATAGTCTAGCTTCTTCTTCGTCGTTACATTCTTGCCAGAGTGGTCATGGTCGTCACACCAGGTCCGGTAGCAAGCCTCACAATCCGTCGCCATTCCTTAATCACAGTCTAGTAGTGGACTGCAAAGGGCTGTTGATGATGATGATGATGATGACAAAGGGCGATGGAGCGTGCTATGTTAGTTTCCCTGCGATATTCGCGGAGCCAGGACAAGTTAGACGACTGGCAGGCCTGCTGCAGCCTGTACCTGGCGCGCGGGCTGGCCTTCGAGGCGCTGCACAGTAGTTTGATTTTAATAAAAGGTGGACATACGATCGAAAGTCATAATTTCACCGAAACAAAAATTGTTTTGGATAGCATTTTGAATGCTGATCAACATTTGTCATTATACATTTTTCGATAAAACGAGCCTTTCATGCTTAAAAAAAATATGACAAAAAAATTTGTATGNCTACTCTTCCCGCGGGTGTCGTAAGAGGCGTTAGGGACTACACATCAAATAGAGAACGGGCTGCAGCGCTTGCGATCTCCAACCCGCCTACTAAGCGTGGGTATTAAAAAAATAAAAATTAAAAAAACTTTGGTTTAGAACTATAATTTCACGACGGAAACTTTTCCGAGGCCTATAAAACAATCAAAACTTTCGTCGTCACGTCATCGTTGGGTTATTTAGTCTTCACTGCAGGAGCACGACTCTATTTTACCAGAGGCAAATGGAGGATTTGGCTTATACTTCCCGCGCTGACGGGGTTGGAATCAAAACTTTATTCTAAACTTAAATCAAAATAGGCCATTCTGCTGACTAGTTTGTATTTGTTCATGATATTATTTTTTTATTCAAAATTTTTTCTTACAGGTTGTCGCAACACTGGCCACTTATCAAAAATACTGCAAGTGACACTCCTGCCTTTGGAAGAGGAAGTGTTCATAAAGTACCTACAAAGCTGCAACGAGTCACAGACGTCGGACATTCTCGTCATGTATTATTTACAGCAGGCCAGGTAAGATTTCTGTGTCATCAGATAGCAATCTGTCGTTGTCTATGATCTTTAACTGCTCCGTACTAAACAAACTTGTTCATAGCGTATTCCTGAACTAAGGCTGGGTTGTACCATCTTACTTTAACTTTAACAAACGTCAAAAGTCTATCAAATTCCATACAAAAGACACCGGTTATGCTTATAGTCACAGTTAAAATAAGGTGGTGCAACTCTGCCTATACGGACAGTGATAACGGATAACCAAAGCTAGTAGACAAACGTCAATCATAAGTTGAACGGCCGGCAGCTTTGACATCATTACAAATACACAACCAGCGTGCATTATCTCATATTTCTTTTGACATTCATGAAAATCCTTATACAGCGCATATCCTCAACGAATGTCTCATTTCAAATGGGTTTATGTCATCGTATTTGAATGACGAATCTCCTCCGCAGATATCTAGAAGCAGAACAATACAACAGTAAACTCCGCCACAGCAAGACTCGGGCTAAGGACGCTACGGGCTCTGCTGAGTCTCTAGCCGATTTAGTAGACAGAGAGGGAGCGAGAGACACGATTGTTGAAGTGGTCTGCGCGTCTCTGCCTAACATCACCAACGTCGTGAGAGACTTCGCGCTCTTGGACAAAGATACTGAGTCGCATGGTAAGCATATGTCTTGAACTTAGTTATTTGGAAGCAAAATAATACAACAAGACTCGGCATATGGACGCTAATGGCTCTGCTGAGTCTCTAGCTGACCTAGTAAAGTCCGGTCGCCGAGCAGATAGAATTACGTCTAATGACCCCAAGCTACGCATCCTTATCGCTCGCGTGTAATTATATTACTGTTGCGCTCGCATACTCACTGCGTCCGCCCGTCGCACAGTTGCGACAGCAATATAATTACGTGCGAGTGATAAGGATGGGTAGCTTGGGGTCATTGGACGAAATTATATCTGCTTGGCGACCGGACTTTAGCTAGAGACACCATATTGGAGGTGGTCTGCGCGTCTCTGCCTAACATCACCAACGTCGTGAGAGACTTCGCGCTCTCAGACAAAGATACTGAGTCGCATGGTAAAGATGTAGCTTGTTTAGTTATCTCTTGTCTGCCTGACATTGACGTGTTCATCGAAATGAAGGATTCCTCATTTGCGCTCAACAGTTGCCGCCACTGGCGAGTAATAGGACCTTAGGCTGGTTTTAGAGTCTCGCTGACCATCAGCGCTGACAGCCGAAATGTATGAAGCGTCGGCGCCGAGCGATCAGCGTCACTCAGGAACGTTCCCTTCAATTACATACACATTGATCTGTCAACGCCGACGAACAGCGAGCGGTCAGCGCGATTCTAAAACCCGCCTTACTTGACAGTGGTGGTCTTAGCCACAAGCAAGTTTGTAACATTACCTTATTTGCTAGTGGCGCCAACCGATGAGTGCTTAGAGAAACACTCATTCTTCCTTCAAATCATTTTTTCGTGAAGAAATGTCATAAAATTTTTGAAAAGTTATTCAACGAAATTGTTGTTTCACAGTGATGGCGGCTAAACCTATGTCGGTATTCATCCAGGCAAAGTCCCCTAAAAACACGTTCACCTACAAATCATCATTTATACAGGTAAATGAACAACCCAAACTACTGTTATTCGTACGCTATATCTATTTATTTTGTTTTGAGACACGTTACTACTAAAAAGTATATATTATTCAACGTTTATTTGTAGGATACTATTGAGAATGCCAGCGAAACTTGGATCAACAAACCAAAAATGCGACGTGGAATCAAACGCGCATTGAATATTGAGGAGACTCCGTTTATATGCACGCCTAAGATGGGGCGCAATAGAAGGTATTTTTATGATTATTTTATGATAACAATCTGTAATTTTGTCAACATCATTAGCATTTTTAATATAGCGACGTTTGCATTATGCAACTGAATTATCATAGTTCTTATTGTTTTTCAGAAATAATTTTTAATTATGTCGCTTTTTAAAAGTCATGTGTGAGAAATTAAAAAGTCAAGTGTGAGGAAAAAATTTGAGAAAAAAAGACATTGGAAATTTATAAAGAAAATTATTCCCAGTGGTCAGTTTATTTTACTGGTAGAAGACTACGACTGTGTTTGCTAATGTGATAATAATTAATTTTGATAAAACATTTTTACTATTAACATTTTTCCAGCATTCTCTCCGACTTACCGTCCGAGTCGACGCCGCCCAAGCGAGCTAAATTGGACTTTGGGGGTACGCCCAAAACGCCCAAATTCTCTAGCACCATCAAACTGAGCCCAGAACTTAGTAAGCAGATGGCGTCTCTACTAGACATGCCGCTGGTACAGAGCCCCGATAGCAATCTTTATGATAGAGCTGAGACTCCGCACAGTATTCTGAAGGTATGTGAAGGCTTGTATTTGGAAATTAGATTTTATTATGACGACCGGGTGCCGTAGCTAAAGATTTAAATACTATGCCATCCGCATTATCTGCTTATAACAAATGCCATCCATTACTGGACAAAGCCTTCCCCACATATTTCCACAAGTACCGATCCTGCGATGCCTGCATCCAGGTGCTTCCTGCTACTTCGTCAGTCCACCGAGTGGGAAGCCTGCTTGCCTACATTACGTTTCCCGATCAGTGGTCGCGGCACTATACACTATACATAATAATTATATTGTGTTAAGGAATATCCACCTACAAGGTGGACCGAAGATCTCATAAAGTTAGAAGGAAGGCGCTGGATGCAGGCCGCCGCTACCAAACGGGCAATATGGAAATCATTGAGGGAGGCCTAAGATCAGTGGTGGACGTCTTGTGATTGAAATGATGATGATGATGAAGAAATATTTTATTGAGTAATCTATAGTCTGGTCTGCGAACACGTAGAATTTGTCCAATGACCCCAAGCTACCCATCCTTATCGCTCGCGCGTGATTATATTGCTGTCGCGACTGTGCGACGGGCGTCCGCAGTGAGTGTGCGAGCGCGACAGCAACATAATTACGCGCGAGCGATAAGGATGGGTAGCTTGGGGTCATTGGACAAAATTCTACGTGCTCACAGACTGGGCTTTAGTATATTATACAGAAGTCTTCTCGTCTCGTAGATAAGGCGCAACGAAGCGATGGAACGTGACGCGCCTTCACCAGTCGACTCGCGCTACTTGGGCGATAGCGATGACGAACTGCTAGAGACTGCCAGCAACCAGACGCACTACAGCGATTCTACTAACAAGTGAGTTATAAATATTACATACAGGACAGTTTTCTTAACCATCCACAGTATCATAGAAAACAAATAGATGTTCAGGCCAAAAGGCAACAGAAGAATTCTATGATAGATAAGATAATTCCTGGCAATTAGTGGTGACTGAGTTTGTTCCGGCGTTTCTTCTCAGCACTTGCCATATTATGTTTGTCTCGAAGCGCTGGTATGGCCCAAAAGATAAAGAGACATGTAAAGTGCCCCATAAGGGCTACCTTTTCTTTTTTTATTATTTACTATATTTTGTTTTGACGTTCATAAGTGCCACTTGTGGTCTAAACTGAATAAATATTTTTTATTTGATTTGATTGATTATGAAAAATAATACACATTAGGAGTGACTCCAGTGATGTGCAATAAGTTTAAAATCGAACGCCCGTATTGACAAACGATGCTTGCTTAATTGAAGCAGCAAATTGAACGCACAGCGTTGAATAGAGCTCTATGAATGGTTCGTGTGTCACCCTGTGCGTCCACGCGCACTGTGAGACTATGAGGACTCACAGTCAGTCTCTCACTAAAGTTTGTGAATACGAGCGTAACTCTTTTAAAACTACTTTCTGTAATAGTTTCTTATTTTACATGTTCTTTTTACACTTTTTTGCACAAATCAATTTGTATATCTTTAACAAAAATTATTTCTTCATCATAACTCTTATTTCCAGGCACCTAAGGTTCACAATCCCGACTGCTTCCGAATCGGGTTCAACGCCCTCCCCTGTTGCGGCGCCTGCGCCTTACCAAATAAGCCGAGATGCGTCGACGGAGAGAGAGATGCAGATATCGGAAACTGCCGAGAGCGAGCGGGATGGCGATAGTCGCGGTACTACCGGCTCGCATGCTATGGTAAGATAATAATAAAACATACTTATTGATGAAAGCATTCTTCTATTTATTTACAAAATGTTGTCTACGTTTACTCGGTTTGTCACAGAACGTCTTTAGCTCTCCGCAATAACGTAGTACTGTCATAAAAACTATACTCAAAATCAAAATCAAAAATATTTATTCAGTTTAGACCACAAGTGGCACTTATGAACGTCAATAGAAAATAATAAAAAAAGAAAAGGTAGCCACACACACACTTTACACACTTTACTATCACTACATAGTATAAAACAAAGTCGCTTTCCGCTGTCTGTCCCTATGTATGCTTAGAAATTTAAAACTACGCAACGGATTTAGATGCGTTTTTTTTATGGAGAGAGTGATTCAAGACGAAGGTTTATATGTATACTTAGCACCCGTGCGAAGCCGGGGCGGGCCGCTAGTTGTTAATAAAATACTTGTTTCTTAAATTGTTTCGTTGTGGCATAGGATGACAGCAACCCCATGGAATCGCCGCCGAAGAAGCTAGCTGTGGAAGTCAAGTCGAGAAAGACTTACAAAGACACGGTGAAAGCCAGGTAATTATAACTTTTAATACCTACAAATGCTTCGGAGGGCACGTTAAGTAATCACGGTGAATATATGACACCTATGGCCGAGTTTAAACTTTCCAAAGTGTTAAAAATATAAACAAAAATGTAACCTTGCTAATGCCGGTTTTCGTTAATCAATCCTTGCCAAATCCGTCCATCAACTGTTAAATTTCAATATGTTTATGTTAAAATAAAAAGTTTTCGAAGATTTTACATATTAATATTCATATTGTTTATTTAAACAATATTATGAAAGTGTAAACATCGAAAACATAATCAATCATAACGATATTTGTTCGAAAACTGATTTTAATTTGACAGTTGAAGGACGGATTTGTATTGCGATTGATTATAGCAACCCGGCCTATATCTTTATCTTATTCCCCAGGCGATCCCTCTCAATATCAGCGAACAGCAGTCTCTCAGACGACCCAAACACCTCCATAGAGAGCATAGCCGACATTCCCGTGACTCTTATCAACCCACGCTACTCCGGCGATCGGCGGCGAAGAGAGAGAGAGCGCCAGGATAGCGTGCGCGGACTAATAGAGAGAGAGCGCGAACTAGGAGACAGAGAGCGCGAACTAGGAGACAGAGAGCGCCAGGATAGCGTGCGCGGACTAATAGGGAGAGAGCGCGAACTAGGAGACAGAGAGCGCCAGGATAGCGTGCGCGGACTAATAGGGAGAGNCTCGTTTTATCGAAAAATGTATAATGACAAGTGTGGATCAGCATTCAAAATGCTATCCAAAACAATTTTTGTTTCGGTGAAATTATGACTTTTGATCGTAAGTCCACCTATTTTTAAAATCAAACTACTGTGCGCTGGACGTGGCGCGCTCGTGCGTGCGCAGCGCGCGCAGTACAGACGACCAAGTGCGCGTGCTCAACTACTTCTTCCGAGGTACAGACCTGTAGCCTTATTCACGTAACAAAACTTCAACGACAACAAAACACTGAGTTGCGATCCTATCCAGTAATCATTCTATCGAAAATGACCCTTGTTAACACGGATTTAGAACTGTTTTTCAATGGGACTACTTCTGACGAGGACGTCCCACGCAGCGTTTCCCGGTACGCGGCCTCCATTCCAGAACCTTGCTGCGCCATCGGCCGTCAGTTCTGCGTACTATGTGCCCTGCCCATTGCCACTTCAGCTTGCTAATCCGTAACTGTGCTGCGCCACAGAATAATAAAAATTATGTACTACGTACAAAGGGCGTCTGCCGTGTGGTGACGGCAGAGTAGAATACATGTCACCAACTTTTCTCTCTAGAGTTTTCTTNACATCGCCATCGCCAACAAGTGATGTGCATGCGTTTGTCAATGTCATCGACAGGACAGTCCAGTATTTTGGAACTATACCGTTATTTTAACGTTTTATATTTTTCACAATTAACAAATTATATGATTTTTTGTTTGCTGTCTCAAGTGGGACTTGTGAAACGAACTCCTACCATGTTTGGTTGAAACCAATCATCGACATTCATTGGGTTTACAGGCGCCTGCAGGGCTAAGATGNCGCGGACTAATAGGGAGAGAGCGCGAACTAGGAGACAGAGAGCGCCAGGATAGCGTGCGCGGACTAATAGAGAGAGAGCGCGAACTAGGAGACAGAGAGCGCCAGGATAGCGTGCGCGAACTAATAGAGAGAGAGCACGAACTAGGAGATAGACAACGCCAGGATAGCGTGCGCGGACTAATAGAGAGAGAGCGCGAACTAGGAGATAGACAGCGCCAGGATAGCGTGCGTGGACTAATAGAGAGAGAGCACGAACTAGGAGAGAGAGAGCGCCAGGATAGCGTGCGCGGACTAATAGAGAGAGAGCGCGAACTAGGGGACAGTGAGCGCCAGGATAGCGTGCGCGGACTAATAGAGAGAGAACGCGAAATAGGAGACAGAGAGCGCCAGGATAGCGTGCGCGAAATAGAAGACAGAGAGCGCCAGGATAGCGTGCGCGAATTAGGAGAGAGAGACGCGGATATGCGGGAAATAAGAGAGGGTGAAATGGCGGCCCCTAAAACGCCGACTGGCAGGAGAGGGATACGAGCTGTATCTGGAGAGAGCACGCCTCTGATTAATAGGTATTTAACTAAGCTAATAGGGTTTTTGCATTTAAGGTGCTAAACTATCTTGTCTTAGGAATTGAACCCACGATCTTTCGCTTTCCACTTTGCTAAGCAGGTATAAAAACGACTTCTATCTTTTTAGGGCAAAATGAAAATTAGATTAATGCATTATATTTATAAAATTTACCTCGGTAAATATGTACCCCAAAAGTGTGGTTCTTTACATTAGCTAGATAGCTAGCTTAAAGTTCTCATAGAAAACTACATCTAGTACACTAAAGCTTCGAGAAAAGTTAAACTAACTTTTACCAAAATTTTTTTTTTTCAGAAGTCGATCGGTTACCCCGGAGCGTCAAGATTCCCCCAGGACACCACTACGTACTAGCAGAGTGACGAGGTAAGATTGAAATTGCTAACATAATCGAATAAAAAATCGTCAAAAATATTAATATTTAAAAGATATTAAAACTTACTAAAACGTGTTGCCTTACCTTCTTACTTACACAAGACATCATTATCAGATTATTATTTTCCACTGAAGGAGTACGAGCTTTTTTATTTACCAAAAATAAGTCTCTCATCTACTCGAGTGAAAAATGAGACAGATGCAGATTGTTTTTTTGTGAATGATTAATCAAAATTGTGATCTCGCCAGGAGTCGATCCCGCACCCCCGAAGTGAGTCCGCGCGGGTCGCCGCTGGCGCCGATCATCGAGCAGCCGAAGCAAGAGGCTACAAGCGAGCCTCACGCCGCCAGCTCTACGCTCAGTGTGCCTAGGAATCTGAGGTATACCTGCTTTTTCTTCTCCAGGGAAAGTTAATCTGTTATTGGATCCGCAACAAAATTAACCAGAACAGGAGTTCGAAGTTAAGGATCGATCCCCCGGGACAAACTTGACCTTCACTGGTTATAAAAAATAACTTTATAAAAGTGTTTTGTTTCATAATCCCGTAAAAGTGATAATTCACTGGTTGAGTTTTTATTGACTATAAAGCTGTATCTCTGGTATCCACAGAGCCCACATCAATTTGAAGTTTATGCTGTGAAGCTACGGTGGAAACCAATGACTTTTTTTTAACCTGGTTAAGGGTTAATCTGTCATTGGACCCGCAACGAAATTGATCAGAAGAACATAGTTGAGTGTAGGATAGATCCCCGGGACACACTTGACATTCACTTGTTGGGTTTTTATTGGCGGTTAACTACACAGGAGTTGCAGCGGTGGGAACGAGATATACGAATAATCCCGTTAGCTTTTGCTTTTAAATCTTTATGGTCTCTTCAAATAATTTGTACAATCTGCCATCATGCATTTCTACTGACTCTACCATGTTATTATCTTCTTTTTTTTATTTACGATATCATGGCTGGTTGGGCCTATGTCCAAATTTCTTATCTTCCTTTTCTTCGGTGGCTCCAACTCTCAAAATTATCTAGCTGCATGAGATGGTTTCCCACCAATCTGTTTATCGGATTCGGGGCCAGCACCTTCGCAGGAGCCAAGTGGCCAGTGTTAAGTGTCACGCGAAAAACCTCAATAGAAAATTAAGAAGAAAAAACTCGTTGTCTTGGAACGTCTGTCAAATGTGAAAAGTCCGCTGAATATAAATTGAAATAATCAAACCGCCAGAAATATCGACGGGTCGACCCTCGAAGCCTGGTCTCCGTCTCCTGGTCCGCAGGTTGGTGGTTTCCGTTTTATGCAGCTGTATTTTTGAGTTGTTTGGAGTCACCAACCGACCCCCGCATCATCTTTCTTCTCCGCAATTTATTCCTGGTGTGGCTATTTACACGCCACACCAATGGCAGTTCTCAGTCTCCACTCTTTAAAAGTGTTGTATTACATTGGACGCTGGTACAACTGTTTACTAACTCACTTCTTTAACACTCACAGAAGCAGATCACGAACGCCTGAGAGGGTAGACAAACCCGTGATGGAATCGCCAAGACTCGAAGCGATCACAGAATCGCCAACTAAATCGTCCAATTCTGAGTCGTCTCCCTCCCCTAGCAGACGCAGTCTGAGGTAAGCATCTTGTATTCATTCAGCTTCAAACTCTTATACCCTTATTCATAATAAAGAAAACAACATAATAAACCTATTTTAACTATAGACAATTTGACACCATTCCCCAATAATTCGAAATCACAACTTTTCTAAAACTTTTATTTTTCTTCATTCTGGTCTTAAAAACTTAATTAATTTTAATTTACCTGTAAATTACGATTTTTGGTCGCATTGTAATTGAAAAAAGTAGTTTAATTGAGTTGACAAAATAGTGACGTCACTTGCTTGCACTAGCTGTTTGCGTTATTTTATATAAGGGTATAAGTCTTTATGTTAAGATGCTACATTGATTGTTTTGACTTGCAGGAGTCGATCACGCACGCCTGAGGTTGAAATTGTACAAGAACCGGCTAGGCCAGCTAGTCCACGCACTCTTAGGTAATGTAAACATTATGTATTCTGCTTTCTGTAACAAAAGGAATACAATAATTTAGTCAGATTACACGTCAGGATAATAAAATTTACATAGTTACTGTTTAAGCGTGCCCTAACTAACTAAGCGTGCCCTATGTTTCTGGCGTTAGGCGTAAAGAAATAAAAAAAAAATCTCTTATGTAAGCAATTTGGTTACAATTTCAGGAGCAGACCTAAAACCCCAGAAAAGTTGATGTCTCCCAAATCAGAGCACTCAACTCGAACCAAAAAGTCCCTCTCCAGAATAGTGTTAGAAGCGAACACATTCGCCAAAATGATGGAGAAGAATGACCCAGAACCGACGTCAGAAGAATCAGAAAATGCTATTGAGTGTACTCCAATGAAAACTGTAAAGCAAGTCCCAAGCCTAATGGACGTAACTCTGTCGCCTATCGTCAACAAATCAGTACTACAAAGCTCTACTGACAGCGTCCTTTCAGAAACAGTAGACAAAGAGTCTAATAAAACTGTAGATAAAAGCACCACAGATTTAGGACTAAAACCTCTACCAACGTTCACTACAATCCACAAGACATATTTCGAGAAATCGGTTCTGCACAGTTACCAAAGCAGCGTAGGCGATTCGTCTGAAAGTGCAATAGAGGACAAAGAAGTAAAAGAAGATAACACAACTAATGTGGGTCTCAAATCGCTACCTGCTTTCACAACAATAAACGACACAGGTTTTAACAAATCTGTCCTGCAAAGCTACGAAAGTAGCGTAGCAGACACTTCGAGTATTCACGAAGAGAAAGAAACAAAAATCACCGAAGTGAGCGTTTCCAAACCCTTCTCAAAGTTCACTGAAATAGTTGAGACTAACTTCGAAAGATCTGTCCTGAAAAGTTACCAAAGCAGCATGGCGGAGACCTCAAACGAAGTATCTAAAGATGAATCTAGCAACAAATCGGCTCTGAAAGACGCTAGTTTGATAACCAACGATAGCGATGTGGAAATGAAAGAAGATGAATGTCAGTCAAAAATAGATAGTCTTTCAGCAGTCATTCAGAAAGAGAAAGAGAGGATTGTCGATATCGAGAGGGAAATAAATGAACTCGAGGGTGATATGACAGATGACAGCAGCGAATCGACCGCGTCAGAAAGTTCCGGCGACGAGGAAATCCTGGTCCCAGCTGATATTAACGAGGAGTCTGATGATACTTCAGAATCGGTGAGTTAAATTCTTATTATCATTCTTAAAAAAATCTACTTAATTGTATGAGCCAACAAAATATTTTAAACCGACAAAAACACTCAAAATAATGTATATGTTAACCATTTACTTATTCTCAATAAAATATTTTACAACAAAAACACTAAAATAATATCTGTGTCTTAACAATTTACGTATTTTTTTAGTCGAGTGAATCAGGCAGCGGTGATGAAGAAGTGATATCTATCAAAGATACAGATTCCGATGAATCTTCTAGCGATAACAAATTGCAAATAGATGAGAATACCAGCAGTTCGGAAAAACAAATAACTCCGCTTAGAAATATAGAAGTTGTAGTTGAAGTTAATGTTGAATCAGATAATAAAGCCGAAGAAAAAGAAACAGTTGAAGAAAGTAACAGCAATGTAGATCCGATGAATCAAGCGCAGATATCAATGCTGACTGATGATAATTCTGTGATAGAATCTGAACAGTCTAATGCTAATTTAAATTATTCTGATGAAGTTAAAACTAGCGAGGAACCTAAAGTCGCGGAAGCTGTTCCTATGGATACAGGTGAGTTAAGTAAGTTATTTGTTTCATATCTTTGTCTTAAAGTCTTTAGGAACGTTATATCAGAAAATATCTTAGATTCTTTGCAAACTTTTTGAACCTGCAGAAGGCTTTACCTTGATATTTGTAGTATTTAATAATTTGTAGTAGACTTCTCTTTAATATCTTATTTTTGATTTTGACTAGAGCCGGCAGTCGAAATTATAGTTATGGTTGAAGAAATTGCTCCTGCCGAAATTGCCGAAACTGATCAATTAGATACCGCAGTAACCAAAAGTATTGATGCCGTAGATTCCATTGCACCAGCTGAAAAAGTTGACCCAATATCTACAACTGCAGAAGCACAAGTAAAAACAAGTGAGGAAACGAAAGTAGATACTGCTGATGCTAACTCTACTAAAGAAAAATCTGCATCAATCGAAACTCTTGAAAAAGATAAACCAACTGAAAAGGATGACAAACCAATACAAAAGGAAATCACTACCCAATCAGAAGAAGGCGAAACAGAAAAAGAGTCTCACAAACCCGCTCCCAGAACCAGAAAGCGTGCACAGTCTACGTCATCCAACAAATCCGTTACCGAAACAAAAGAAGAACCCAGAACTCCAGTCACTAGAAAGCGAACGCAATCCACAGCTTCCAACAAATCGGTCACCGAACCAGAGCCGAAAACTCCCGAAAATGTTGCTGAAGAGACAAGTACTCCATCTAGAAGACGAGCCAAAACGCCGCCTAGCGTCGAAGTCCGTAAGATTATTACTCGAAGAGCGTCTAAAGAGATGTCTGAAAAACTAGACGAATCTAAAGAAGCTCTTGATGATTCAGTCACGGCTACGCCTAGAAGACGTTCTACCAGATCTAGAACTAAAAATATAGATGATAACGAGAGCGTAGCTTCAGAAAGTTCGGTCAGATCGACTAGGAGTCGCGCTAGTGAGGACGCGGGTGATATTAAGGCCGCGCCAATAAGGAAAGGCAGGAAGTCCATACTGAGCACGAAGCCTGATCTGTCTGTGATACCGGAAATGATCGTTGAGGAGGAGTCGAAAAGCAGCGAGGATATTGTTAACGAATACTCCAATGCTAGAAGGTGAGTGAAGTTAAAATAATATTATAAGCTTTGTAAGCGAGTCGTCCGTTTCGTACTTTTTCTAATAAACGGGTCTTGGAAATACTTTTTACTGTCTACTTAAATATTGTTGCTAGAGATAATTTTAGTTTGTTTATAGCTGATTTTCTTTTAATCTGGACATTCACAAGGCAGATTTTTCAATCGTCGGATATCTTTTAACTGAAGAATAAGTTTGAAACATTGACAGTTTCAGTATAGGAAATATGTCAAAATGACAAGTTTATTCTTCAGTTAAAACATATCTGACGATTGAAAAATCTGCTCACAGTCACATAAACTTGCGGTCATCCAAAGCTGACCGCGTGTGTGAAATCGTTAGTTGAAAGTTCATTGTACACGGTCAGTATACTACTTACCCTGCAAAACAATTAAGAAAAGCTGATGAGTCTTCTTTCAATACATTCCAGGCTGACCCGCCATCAAAAAACAGTGCTAGAATCGTGGCTAGAACCGGCCGCGTCGCCTCGTTCCCGCCGCCGCACCAGCGCCGCATCGCGTCACAGCGCGTCGGACCGCGACGACGATGACGCCGACTCTACGCATTCTTTTGACGTACAATCCATGGATAGAATCGCTCTACTGGCTAAACAGGACTTTGAAGGTTAGCGATAACTTTGGTAGATTGCTATGAGATAAAAAAAGTTCATTTCGTTTTTTGCATGTGTATAGTAATAATAACTTTGCATTTTATTAAAGGCCGGTAAATCTATACTCATATACACCGTGTTACTTTGCATTCTTGCCATATTCACAGAGATAAAAGTAGGGAACAATACCCATTATTTAAGATAAACAAGAGACTCCCATAAAGAAAGTACACTAAGATTTTCGTAAATTTGGTTTNTCTAGCCAGTATCCTTGAAGTTTTTTGCTGATTGTTATTGTGAATTTTCATGACAGTGAGCGAAACTTGCTTATGTCTGCTTTAGAATGAAATAATCACTCATAATCCCACACTTCTTCATCCACTGTCTAAAAAAAAAAAGAATATTATTTAAACACAATTATATTATTACAATTACATAAACAGTTAATAAATAGAAACATTTACTTAATCCTATTTGTATTTTAAGTTAACATACAAAATGTTGATCATCAATATTATTACACAGTGAAAGAACTATGTGAAATAAATATAGGAAAGAAGGTGAAAGCTTATTTGTAGGAATAAAGATATTTTTCCTTTTATCAGGTGTTATTACTTATGAAAATCAAGATGTGCGGAGTATAGCTAATATTTTAGACTTTAGGTACTTACTTTGCTACTTATGAGTGTAACTTTATTTCTCAAATCTCAATAAACTTTCTGACTGCTTCATGTACGTTGAATAATTACTGTAAACCTCGCATTATGGGATAGGCTTAGATTAATAAAATCTAAGGGGATAGGTAGTGGAGTTCGGACTTCGGTTATTCTGTTAATTTTGAAGACTTCATTCTTTAATACTATCGGTATGATTAGGAATTCTTCATTGTTTTTCTTTAACTTGGTTATGTCTTCGTTTGATATTTTCCGTACTTTAGAAATATTAAAAATAAGACTGGAAACATAAAAATACAATTTTAAAAACACAAATACAATCAAGCAGTCATGTAATGTCAACAAATTTGACATAACTTTTTTTTAATGACGTTCTCACTGCTTTAAGATATGTGTTTTAGCCGAATTAATAGCAGAAATGAACGAGATTGAACGAATGAGCTAAAATATTTCAAGGTTGGCCAACATAATAACGCAAATTTTTCTTAATATGGCAACAATTGGGTTATCACGCGATAGCGGTCGATAGACTTTTCTATCGATGGTCCCATGTTAGGGAAAATGATAAAATTATCTACGTGATCGAAAATTGTCTTATCATATCATGTCATTGTCGATGCGCGCATCTTAGGCCTACTGGTGATAAAAAAAAATTACGCTTGTATCTGCAAATCCCATCTGAGGCTATAATATTTTTCAAATAAAAAATCATGTTCTAGAATCTCTAGATATTAGCATTATAAATACAATGCAATAACTAATTACTACCATTTCTTCGGCAAGATAATGTTTTCTCCCCTCTTATAACAGGAGTGAATAAATATTTCAATGACTAATGTATGAATCAAGTAATAAACTACCTAATCCCGAGCTAAAATGTAAATAAATTGTAATATACAACGAATCTAAATAGTGCACGTAGTTCACGTTTTAAATCACTAAAGGGGGTTCTTATTCTTATGAATGACCGCCAAAACTTAGTTCAAATTCAAGAATAAATTCAAGGATGTGATTGGTTAAGTTTTAACATTTAGATAGAATACTCAATATGTTTATTGCTTCCTTAATAGTACATTTAGGTGTTAAGGACCCTGTTGGGTGCTGCAAACTAAAGAACAATCATACGCTTGATTCTATTATTGAGTGTCGAAAGAAGTTTGACTGTCATTCCTTAATACGGGCCAATACTACCCTTCATTCTTAGCAAGCCTAATCACTTCACGAGAGCTCATAATAGTATGCCTTGCTAAGCTATTCTGAACATTAGCCGCATACAATAAGGACTAGCGTTGCTTAACTCTGCACTTTGCCCACTAACTACTAGGCTCTCCAGACTTCGAGGAATACCCTAACGTCGGATCGCCGGACTCAATTGCTTCGGACGCGAGCAAGCAACAACGGAGATGTGAGTACGCTTTGCACGGTTTTCTTTTGCGGTTAATGCCTGGTCCGTGAGCACGTAGAATCCCGTCCAATGACCCCAAGCTGCCCATCCTTGTCGCTCGCACGTAATAATGTTGCTGTCGCGCTCGCACACTCACTGCGGGCGCGCGTCTCACAGTCGCGACACAATATAATTACGCGCGAGCGATAAGGATGGGTAGCTTGGGGTCATTGGACGGGATTCTACGTGCTCACGGACCAGGCTTTAGTTGTTGACAGCACTGATCATCATTGGCAGCGTTTAGCAGAAAATAGCGCTTGTTAGAAATTGTTAGCAAAATAGCGATGACCATCATGGCAACCGCCGAAATTTTAGCATATTTTCGGCGAGGACACATTTGCTATACTTCAAAAGTCACGTTTTCACATACATTCTTTAACAATAAGAGCACTTGCTGCTAAAAAAAACGCCATGTTTCTTACTAGCGCTTTTTTCTCAAACGCCCCCATTGTCTCTTTTTGAGCTGTCAAAACGGGGAATGGTAATATGACAAATCGACTAGTTATTGACTTCAATGCAACATCAATCTAACAGTTGACGAAGTCCTTAAACTTCTTTATTAGTACCTTTTCAGGGCACTTATACATTTCCCGAATATAGCTTGCCCTACCACCATTTCGGGACAACACATTATAGATCGTTTCATCCACGAAGTCGCGCCCCACCATTCTCCCGCGAATGTTTGATTGTTATCGGTACACGCTAAAATTATCCATGACTGCACATGCACACTAAAATTTTTGCTGGGACCAAAAATTGGTGGGGCGCGTCTTCGTGGATGAAACGATCTATACTTGGTATTGAGAAGAAAGGGCAGATGGAACTCAGTTCTTTTACTTGTTACTTGTAATTATTGGTGCTGTCAACTATCAAATTTAAATATTTACTATGCCCTAGACTCTAGACTGCATTTGCAGCTAGCATCTAGCTTTCCATTTTTGCAAATTATACTTGCGCATTTATACATAAAAAATATTAGAGCTATAGTAATAATATACACATACACATACACGTTACATACGGCCAAATGCTATGTCACTTTCATCAGTAGACAAAACATCTTGAAGTATGAAAAAGTAAAAAAGTTTCCGAACTTAATTAGGGTTGGGTTCTTTACGTAAAAAATATTCAAGATAGTAATAAAAAATATATTTTTAGCTCGATTGGCGCGCGCAGGTTCAGAGGCGAAAACCACACCGAGAGCTGTCAAGAAAACGAGAAGTATTTCCGTTGATATCGGTAAGTAAATTTACGTCTCAATATTAATTTCCTTGACTGTATTCCTTCCAAGATGTTTGTGAAGTATGGGAAGGAGTTCATTTGTATATTTATTTTATGTATGTCGTGTTCATAAACATAAAAATTGTTCAGGGCGTACATGAAAGGAAGAAAACAGATAATAATTAGATGAATCTCAAATTATTTACAAATATTTATTTATGTTAGTCCATTATGTGCGCTTATGTACTTTGCAAAAACTGTTCTAAAAACATAAACAAAACGTATGCAGAAAGTAGTCAAATTATGTGCGCTAATTTAGTAAAAAATGTTCTAAAAATTCTTGCGAAACGTGCATGGAACTCACTTTGTACAAGTACACATTGAAATATATCTGTGACCGACATAACAATAACCGAGGCAGCCGATTTGCATTTACAAACATGTGTGCACATTTTGGCACATGTCTTTGACCGGTAATTTTATTCCTTAGGCGAGGGCTCTGAGGCAGGATCTCCCGCGGGCAGCCCGCTACGCCGCGCCAGCCGCCGCGCGTCCTTCAACAAGGCGTGCGAGGCGCTCCACACACCTATCAAGGGACGCCGCACATCTACGGACACCAGGGTACGTTGGGAAATGGTTTTTATTTTAACCCATTTATTAGGACCTCTTTTGCAATCGACTGCGACTCATGTCTCTAGAAAATAACACCCCGATACACTAGGGGACAAAATAATGTCCCGTGCCACTTAAATTCTACCAGTCTTATTACAAAAAATGTTTTAGAACGGTAGCAAATCAGGTATTACCAAGTTCTAGAACTAAAGTTAATACTAATATCAAATCGTAGTCTTATTACAAAACATGGTTTATTCGAAGATCAGTTAAATAATAGATGATCTACACCTGAACCGTCCCAGCTGTGACATTGACAGGAGGGCGCTGCTATCTACTGTCAATACTGGGTTGTTAGTTTTCGATTTTGCCACTTGACGTTTCAAAATCGTTGCATGTTCCGCAACATGTTGCATTTGTCCCCTAGTGTATCTGTGGCTTTATAATGTCATCTCAACATATAGTTCCAAAATACTGGACTGTCCTGTCGATGACATTGACAGTGGGGCGCCACCGTCAATACCGGATCGCTGGTTCAGATTTTTGCTATGTTGGAAACCATATAGTTGAACGATGGTAGCGCCCCCCTGTCATTGAGTTTGGTGGGACAGTTCAGCGTGGGTCATCTATACCATCAAAACTGACTAACTAATGGCGCAATTTCACTAGTCGATAGGGGCCGCATGCGGCGTGCGGGAGATTTCTGGAACGCGTGCCACAGGACCTGCATTTGGGGAACCGTTTTCATCTGTCGAAATATGGTCCGCATGCGGGGAGAGAACATCGTCGCCAGATGTTAACGAGAGTGGCACTGAGACAGACATACATAGAAATAACTGAATAACTTAAGAAAAAGTTTGAAAAACGATATACGTGCCTATATGCGGGGAGGCCCCGCATGCTGTATACCGAACGAGTTATCGACTAATGAAAATGCGCCATAACTGTAGATTTCAACTATTCATAAGTCACTCCTTATCACTTTTTTTTGTTTACTGTCAAATAACTTGCCACTCTCCATCAACAAATCCATTAATCCCTTCCATATCTGTACAGAAAGAAGCAGAAAGCCCGCAAGACTCGTCGGCCGTTTCGGAGTCGGAGTCCGTCGCAACGCCCGCGCGTCGCTCGCGTCGCGCTGCGTCCACGCAGTCCAATGCCAGCCAAACTAAACTGGATACCAGCAAGAGGTAATTTATATTTAACTTAAATATGTCTAGCGATCAACTCAGTCAGTGCCTGAGGTATTTATTTATTTTATTTTTCTTTATTCAGAAAACCACAGCTCTTTATAATAATAATACAAACAGGTTTTTTTGTTCTTACAGCCAATAATGGATTCCTATATTTTGTTACAATCTCGTTCAGGTTGTGTGTGTGTGTGTGTGTGTGAGCGGCACGGGAGGAATGACATTTGACCTCTCAAAAACACCCTCCCTTGCCTCTCCTACGTTTAACTAACTAGCTGCAACTGACATAATCGATGAACAGATACGAAAACTGATGAGGGTTTTCGCGTATGAAAAATCCACTAGATGGCAAGACGTAGATAACTGCTACGTGATTGGTGAATTTTGACATATATGTCAATGTCATGTCAAAAATAACCAATCATGCAGCATTTAGACCTCACGTCTACGTATTGCCATCTAGCAGATTTTTCATACGCGAAAACCCTCATTTCGATATTGTTTTTCACTAGCTTTGGCCCGCTGCTTTACCGCGGATTTATAATATCGTTATTCGCTGGGTGCGAAGTACTANGTGTATAAATGAAGTAAACAAACCCTGACACAATCAAACTTAAACACACTTTTTGGACTTACTTCATCTGATCTGAATGACCAAAATTATTTCAAAACCTTTTTTCCACCCAAATCGTGGTATCACAACAATTTATTAGTTGAAAATATTTGTTATTTTTTCATTTCGATATTTTTTCACAAATATACGACCTAAATGTCAATGTGACAGAGCCCACAAAGTTGTGGACGCTAGTTGGCGCTGTAATCGTGCACAGAGCCAATAAAGTTTCCGTATTTATACAGTAGCAAATATTCGTACATCTTTACAAATTATCACATAACGCATTATTATTACAAAAGAAGGATACGATAATAGCACGGGACTTATAGCTATTCAATTCGTCGTCGTCATTGATACTGAACTGTTATCATAACTTGCATTTTATTTTGTTTCAGATCAAAGAAAACCTCTGCACTAGATGAAAGTAAGGATAAGAAGAAGTAAATAGAATAAATTATTCCTCTTTGTATGTACGTAGTTAATGTTAAAGGGTTTCGTTTTTGCATTTATACTAAAATAAAATGTGTTATACTTATTTCTGTTTTTTATTGATCATAAATTATGGTTACAATCCTTACAATTTTATTCAATAATCAAAATGCAAAATGATTATTAAAATACTTTAATTTAGTACAATATTCAGTCAATGCAATAATCGCAAACGCAACCATGCACGTTTATGCGTGATTTGTTAATAAATACTCGAACAAGTGGTAAGGCATTTTGACAAAACGCGTTTTTAAACACACTTAAATATAACTTGAGATCACAAATAACATTCATGCAAAGCCCGATGTCCAATAAATAAATCTACGTCATGATTAACTTAGATATGAAGAGATTCACAGACATAGTTTAGTTACATATTAGTAAAGTCTGAAGTAAGGCATATTACTTGTAAATGGGAACTACAGTAAATGAAAATCAAAAGTATATTTGAAAAAAATCGTGGGCAGTTAGTATCCATAAATAAAATACATTCATATGGAATCGGGCTTCATACATAAGTACAATCAGGGCCAAAAATATGTGGGCACTTTTTCTTTACATTAGATTAGGTTAGTAAATTGGTATGAAAAATGAATCATCATGTAAGACCGATAGGAATCGTGAAATGTCGTACAGTTGAGAATAAATTCTCATGTTTCTGAACCGTAAAAAATGGCATATTTTCCAGTCCAATTGTACTTTTCACGCATCCAAGAAATAAATAAATAATAATAATAGTGCATCCATTGCCTTAAGACGCAAAAGAACTGGCGCTTGTCATTATCCATAGAAAAATGTGATGGTTGTTGACTCTTAACGATGTTCCTTTTTATCTTTTATCTTCTCATGTATTCCAGTGAAAACGCTCATAGCAATAGTAGCACTGAACTGCTTGAATGGAACACTCGGTGCTTCAGTATCCGCGCAGTAATAACAATGTCATACATACTAAATAAATAAATAAATGCAAATTTAACACATGACCTCATGGCGTCAAAAAAATTTAACATTAACCCTCTTCTAGCGTTCATCTCTCGTTTTTACTTGGTTCTTTATACAATTTTAGAGATCTGCTAATGTGATGTATAACGTTTGGATGGAAAGGTAAATTCTTTGGCAGCCCAATATCGGTTAAATCTACTTGAGACGAAAGGATATCTTTCACATCCTTATTTAAATCTGGCTTATTGTCTATTAACGTTTTGCAAATTTCTTTGTCTTCAGGTTTTAGAGCAGACTTTTCTGTGCAATCGACGACTTCTCTTTTTTGTCTACCTGCAGCTTTATCTCCAGTTTTTTGGTTTGCATTTTGAATGCCGTCGATTTTAACATTAGCATTATCACTATTTTGTACTGAGTTTACATTTTCGTTTATTTTTTGTTGTGTGTTGCCATTTATAGCTAAGGGTAGTGGGACATTTTTAGCAACGATATTGTTAAGGGCTTGGTCGTTATTCTTTTTCTGTACGTCTTCGCCTTGTTTATAAGACTGCGGTTCATCAAGAGCGTGTAAATGCTGTTTGGCAGTTTCAGCAGATTTTTTGTTGTTTTGTACTGGCAATTCATTCTGATTATTTTTCACTGGCAGGTTATTATTATTAGGTATGTTTTGTGCAATTTGATTGGCAGCTGGTTGGTTATTTACGACAGCTTGTGCTATATTTGCTTGTACATTTGCATCGGGTTGTTTATTATTTGCGGGAGGCTGACCAATATTTGCGGGGATTGGTGGTAAATTAGCTACAGGAGCATTATTACTTAAAGCTTGCGCTATAGGCTGACCAATATTGGCCGAAGGTTGGACGTTATTTGCCGGAAGTTGGGCAGTTTTCACTGGTTGCACAACATTTGCAGGTGGTTGAGGTACATTTACGTCTTTTGCTACATTTGCTATTGGTTGACCAATATTTGGTGGTTGAGCATTGGGTTGTTGCACATTTTGGGGATTCACTTGACCATTTGATACGACATTTTGCTGAACCTGCTTTGGATTAATGTTTTGTCCATTATTTAGAGGCAACTTATTGTTAGGTGGGACAGGCACAAGAGGTACGTTAGGCAAAGGTTTCGGGGCTTCTGGCTTTTCTTTGATTTCCTTTATGGCTTCGATGGTTTCGACAGCCTTTTGAGCTATTTCTTGCACTGCTTCGTCTGCTAGTTTTTCTAATTGTTCAGATTTTTTCTCGTCTCCAATTTCCCCAGGTTTATCAGACACGCCAGCCAGGCTTTGTATCGCCATATTCGCTATTTTCTTAATACTTTCGACGGCAATTTTCTTTGCATCCGCATCGGCTGCGTCATTCTTATTTTTCTCCAATTCTTGTTTAGTTTTCTGCAGTTCAGATAGAATTTCTTTCTGTTCTTTGAGAAGCTCTTTTTGTTCCTCGCCATGTTGTTTTATTGTTTCTATGAGTTTTTGCTGTTTTATATTCATTTTATCTTCGAGTGACTGTGGTTTTTCATTGTTTTCTTTTGGTTTTTCAACTTGCTTTTGTTCTTGTATTTCTTTGACTCCATTAACATGTTTAGCGTCATGTCCCTTATTTAGATTTTTAGGATGCGTCTCCGATACTTTGTCGACGGTTTCTGGTAATATTTCTGGTGCAACATCTTTTACTATAGGTTTGGGTTTGTTTTCTTCTTTCTTTTCATTTGATTGCGATTCTGGAGGCACTGGATTTGGAGGTAACACAACGGATTCTTTTAAAATATCATCGTTGATCTTGTTTGTTTCATCTGGACCGTTTTTGAACTCTGGTTTTATTATGACACCTGGAATAAAAATATTTTTAAATTAATGTATTATATGTATTATATGTATCCGTATGGTTAAAATGAATATGAAAATATAAATGTGAATGAAAATGCCATCCTATTTTTGTGGGAAAGTGACTGACGAATCTAAGGAAATTTTAGGACTAATGCTACTCTTTCAGTGTCGTAAAAGGCGACAAAGGGATATGCGAAAACCAGGTTTCAACTCATCTGGCTAGTGGAGAGAGTGTAAGGCTGGGTAGCACCATCTAACTAACAAACGTCAAAAGTCTGTCAAACTCCATACAAAAACACCGGTTACTGTCATAGTTACGGTTAAAGTAAGTTGGTGCAACTCAGCCTAAGTCAACTCTTCCATTTGAATTCTGGGAAAGGGTCGACAACCGTGCTTTAACAGTGGAGATTCCTATAGACAAAATAATGTCTCACCGTTAGGTTTCTTCCAGAAGCAGGTCCTGCTCCTCCACCATCTTGCTACAAAGGTCATGGACAAAAGAAAGGAAAGTCTGGTATTTACCATCTGATGATGACACTTACACTAGTAAAAGGGAAAGAAAAGTGGAAGTTTTTTGTTCATTTTCATCATCCACTGCTGAACATAGGCCTCCCCCAATGATGGTGCCAAAGAAAGTTCTCGAAATTTCTCACCGTTGGGTTTCTCCTGCTTCTGGAAGAAGTCCTCGACCATCTTGTCGATGCGTTCTTTGGTGATATACTTGTCGTCGTACTTGTCGATCTGGCTCTCGGCCGCCTGCAGGTTGGCGCACGTGCCTAGTACCATGATGATCAGGCCCAGGATTATGATGCCCTAGGGAAAATAAATACAAATACAAAAATCTTTATTGTGAGTCAAAGGTGAAATGGTGACATGGTACAGTAGGTAGTATCACTATGTCAAACAAAGAGCATACAATTTGTAATTACATTTTACAATTTAAATTACATGCAATTATATTTCACAATATTTTCACACGCAAAACTTTTCACAAATGGCGTTAGCAACCGTCAAAGCATATGTCAAACTTTTGAAACTGCAGTTTGAGTTGGTTTCATTTGCAGTGGCTATAGAATAAATCGGTACTAATCAAACATAGGCGTATTGGAAATCAGTAAGAAACAAACCAATAAGTTGTAAAAAATATTGTAGAATACAGACAATGACCGGTTCGAGCGGAGGAAAATAACTCTCGGCTCCGTTTCTCGAAGGAACTGTCGAATTTTAATGTGAAGGCCCCGTCCTTCCCGCGAAGACAGCACATAGGGTATGTGGCGCCGACCCCATCGTCTAGTGATTATGAAACTTCGTGCATTTTCCGACGGAAATATAAGCTTTTCACACTAGTAAGTTTTATTCAAATTCAAAATTCAAAATACGTTTATTGTGAACCAGAGGTACATAGGTTGTCAAATTATAAATGGATATAGATCGGCTGCGTTCCGCCTTGAAGGCATACAATAGTTAGTGCTTAATTCTAGGGTTAAAGTTTTTGCTGAAGGTTAGGTGCAAACATATTAAGTAATTATTCAGAATTTTTCAAATAATCGATCAATAAACAATTTGGTCCGTCAAAAAGTCACTAGTCTTATAATAACATTTTTCTGTCAAAAAATCACTAAGATTTCGTTTAAAAGATATCAGATCTTCAGAGTTTCGAATGGACTCGGGAATTTTATTAAAGATACGCGGTGCGTTGCAGAAGACACTTCCTTGAAGCAAAGCTGTCTTGCTGGCCACTGTACATACACAGTTACAACAGTTTCGGTACAAGACACACTAATGACGTTTAATATTAGCCTCAAAGGGTTTCTCTGGCCTGTATGCTTAGTGCAAAATTACACCAAACGTCATCGTTAGCGATTGCGTAAAAAATGACATGAAATGTATGATAGATTGTACAGTGCCCCTTTTCAAGAACTAACATCTTCTTACATCATTTTTTTACGCACTCGCTAGCGACGACGTTCAACGTAAACTAAGCACTTCAAATAAATAAAGCACCAAAAGCAAACAAAACGCAATCTCACCTTAGCCAACAGCCTTTCATTTGTATCCTTATGTGTGGCCCTTACAAAAGCCGCCGCTGGGAACACCACGCACACTAACACGCCTATAGTCGCGCCCACCAATCCCAGCACCAGCTCAATGTTGGGCAGCGCCAGTCCCACGCACAGCGATGCGCCCACTATGCCCACGGTGATGCAGCGGAACGAACGCACAGGGATCGAGTGGTTGATTATGTGGTCGTGGTGCGATGAGTGCACCTGGAATTTTATTGCAAACTTATAAAGACCTATTCAGTAGAATTCTATTATAACGACTCGCGACGCTCAAGGGACCGATGATATTAATTTACATCGTACTATCCGGACGTCATACTAAAGAAAAAAATTTTTACGTTATTTCTCAACCAAACAAATCAAAAAATATGCGTCGCTAAAAGCGGCCGGTAGTTATAAGTCCGTTATAAGCAACGACGTACTAAACGGATTCTACTGTAGTTATAAATAAGGATAGAAAGCTAATAACTGTACCATACCGCATTAAAGCAGTTTATCTTAACCAGCGTTTAATTGTAGATTAAATTGATATACGAAAAAGGGGTCTGCTCACTTTTCTATAATTTAAGGGCTGAAAAGTTTGTTTCTATAAAATTTATTCATTGTTCAAAATGCACTTTCTACATAAAAACCTAAATAAGTTCTAAATGTTAATAAAGATAAAAAAAATACTTAAAAAACCTTAGTACCTTCTTATAAAGCAGCGAGTACAGACTAGCTCGGCAAGGGAAGATTATGAGCGGAAAGCTGAAGGCCACCGACATTACGAAACCCAGCTTGATGACGTCACTCGCCATGGTGGGACTCAAACTCATCAGGATGTTACCTGTAAGGTAAATTACATTAGGCTTTAAATGGGAAACACTGGCTCAAAAATTGCATCGTGTAAAATGGCCAATAGACATGATTGCAAGGAGGGATCGCTACATAAAAATATGTATATTAAAAATGCAATAAAATTGAATTCTTGTTTGCACAAATATAAATTATCAAAACATGGTGAAGTTTTCCTTAAACAAACAAATCTACTTATACTGTTTCGATTTATGTACACAGTTGCTTGTTATGATTCACTGTTTATTTTTAATGAAACCATTTCCATCATTATGGTAGATAACAATAGAGTCTAATGTGACCTGAAATATCTTCATCCAAGAATAGTACAGTAAACAAACATCTTTTTGTTATAAACATTAGATACAATTTTCATCCTTATTAGTAGTGCAATAGAGTGTAATCTTACCGGAAATATCTTGAGCCGAGAATGCGATATACCCAAAGAGACCCAGAGTGAAGTAAACGCACGTGCAGATATTGATTGCGTTCTTCGTGACGACGTTCATCTTTTCGAGGGATAGCGAAGGCAGCGATTCGAAGATTTCGAATAATTGTCTGGAATAATCATGTATTATATTGAAATGTGCTCTAATATTGATATTCTGATATTATTGGTTTAGTTTTATGTACTACAACTCCTAACTACAACACTACAAGTCGCGGGTTAAGAGCGTTTACGCCGTTTGGTGCAAAAACAGTACTTTTTCAACTCGTTACAATCATTAACCAGTAATACTACAAATATGTTATAGGCATAAATAGTTAGGCAATTTCGTCGTCTAAATAGTTAATTGAGAAAATATTGCGATTAGTTTAGTATTCANATGATACGCTAGACGTAAACGCTCTTAAAGCCCCGCCAACGCAATATTGATTGGTGTATGTAGGGAAATTTTGGGGGATGCAATTAATGTCATAAAGTATGTAGATAATTTAATTCTACGATTTCTGGGGTGGGCCATTCTAGGGTGAAACCGGCCCACCCGGCTCCCTGCTATACATGACAATATTTGAGTGCATAAAATTGTGTGCAACTCAAATAGTCCAGCAGTCGGCGGCGATCGAATTAGTTTCTTAATTTTAGTATTGGGAGGCAGACATCGGGTTATTTTCTTCTTCTTGTCGTGTCGACCTCGACAACAAATCTACACAGTGTCAGCTCAAAACTCCGCTACAAGAGTGGCATTGTCAGCGGCATTCATTAAATCCTATGTGCAGTTGCTCAGGCACTCAGGGCACGACATCATGTGTTTCATTGACTGGGGAACAAAACCGCACCGGGCTATTATCGGTTTAAATTGTTATGCAGAGATCATAAAGATATAGAGAGATGCCAACCAATGCGCTGAGTTCGAAACTCAGTGTCGCATTAGAAATAGACACACACAAAGTAATCAAAATACGTGCTCATTATCCACTGCAGTATCAGTACTCAACGTTCGAATAATCTTTAGTACTACGCAAGCAATGTAAACTGTTTTCATTATGACGTCTGCAGCAATATGCCCAAAAACAGATTTTGGGTATATTGCTGCGACACCGGCACCGCCCAAGGGCAAGGACAAGGGTCACATCTCCCTTTAGTTCATTGGTTCCCAAAGTGGGAGGGTCCGCAAAGACCTTTAAAGAGGGGCGCGGGTCATCTGTTTCTGTAAGAAACCTGCGACCGCTAAGAGAAACAACAACAAATTTTTTTGTATGGTCGAAAGAAGGCGCGACTCAAATAAGTGTGGGAACCAATGCTTTATTTTCTGTGATCTGGTAGAGATATTTGTAAGAATGTACTTACGTCTGACAGAACAGCGCCATGGAGAATATGGGCACGCACTGCAGCACGCCCGCCGGCCGCCACATCTCTACGCGCGTCTCCCAAGACGTTGTGAACATTTGCGACGCCGCTTCTGCTATCACCTGTTGCCAAATTAGAACATAATGTGCCATCACCATGATTATAGTTTAAAGATTTTATTAGTATTGCTAGCTGTGGCCGCGACTTCGTGAAAATAGATTAATTATTTAAAGTTTTTGCAACATTTTCTTTACTGCTCCGCCCCTATTGACTGTAGGGTTGTTGGTACAGCCATCCAACACAAAAATATTTTTTTAAATCGTGCCAGTAGTTCCTGAGGTTAACGCGTTCAAACAATATATTATTATATCTATACTAATATTATAAAGCTGAAGAGTTTGTTTGTTTGTTTACTTGAACGCGCTAATCTCCGGAACTACTGGTCCGATTTGAAAAATTCTTTCAGTGTTAGATAGCCCATTTATCGAGGAAGGCTATAGGCCAACAACTAGATACAACATCACGCTACGATCAATAGGAGCAGAGCAATAATGAAAAATATTGCGAAAACGGGTTTTCACGCGTACGAAGTCGCGGACACAGCTAGTAGCTTTATAATATTAGTATAGAATAGTGTAGATATTTTCGGTGGATTTCGATCGCGGTGAAAATCGCGGTAAACACCTAACCTAGTACAAATCTTTATCTATAGAAATGAAAATCATGTTTTCCTTGGTCAAGCTATACTCGATTATTAATCCATTGTAAATTAACGTCCATTGTGATTATCAGTTCTGCCCATGATTCTTCAATGAAACAGAATGATATCGAAATGATAACACATTTGTATTTAAACTTGAAAATATTTTTTTTTTTTAAATTCATGACAAAAAAATATTTCTTAAATCATTTTAGTGCTAGATTGAAGTCCTTTACACACTCTAAATAATTCAAGATAGCAATACTGTGTAATCTCACCTTCATAACCAAGCAGAAGTAGAAGCAAATGGTGGCCGCGCTGACGTTACTGAGACTGTCCACGTTTCTCAACAGGCCCAGTGGTAGCACACACACCAGTGACACAATCACCATTATACATGTTCTGAAAAAAGGATGCCATAATAAGTTTAAAAAAATATGTGTCTATTAACACTTTAGCTAAAGGAACGTGCTATTAATATAGAATTATTTGAAGGTATTTTTTCATTGACAGATTTATCGCTCAATCAGATACGCAAGTCCTTGTTCTTGGACCTTAACACAAGGCAATAAAGTTCAAAATAATGTGGTTACTACACTACCACTAACTGCTTTAGGGTTATATTGATTTGAGTCTTTTATTCAGTCTTTGAACAGTGAAACTAGAGAAAGCTGTCATATAAAGAAATGACAAACAAGCTAAAGACAACAAAAATGGCCAGTATGACTTCTTATGAAAGGACACACTAACCTTAGTATATCACTTTGGTTGATATTAAACATTTTAGCGACAATCTGCGGTCCGAGGTCCCCCACGACTACAAAGTAAGCTATGCACGTGCCCATCAGGAAACCTATGATGCCCACCTCTACTGCCAATTTTCCTGCTGAACCAAATACATGGAATGCTGAAAAGAAAAAAACATCAAATATGTTAATGGACTTAAATAAAAATTATATTGTATCAACACTTAATTACAAAGGGGAGGAAAGGCATTAACATCAGCTGCTATTACAGTCAACAAAATTAATTATTGTGTATTTAATAAATAGTTCTACATAACTCAGTCTTTTAATGATACCAGATGTACTTAATGTAAGTACTATTATACCTACATAGAAATAAAAATATTCCTTACCTAAAAATTCAAAGTTTCTCCGTCTAGTGATCAGTGCAGACTTTAGCAAGAAATAGCAGCATAGCCTTGAGACTAGGCCCATAAACACTAGGATCAAAGTAGCCAACACCACTCCGCACTGAAAGAAAACATTACAAAATAAATAATGACATTTTATGAATGTCGGAATTTAGAATCTGTTTCCTAAGCCTTTTAGGTATGACATTGGTAAGTTATAAGTTATAATGTAGATCACATGATAGATTTTACTAAAATAATACAAAAAAAGTTTCCTAAAACTTGTTGATTATGAACAACTCGAATCAATGTAAAATTGTGACCATTATAATATTACTAGAATGATTTAAACGTTTATGTTATTCTAATAATAGTATAAAATTAAATCTTTTCCTGTTGTGTTTTATAGTTTTTTAAATCTAAGATAAACTTTATAATAAAAAGTTACTTACTTGTTGAAAGCAAAATGGCATAGCCAAAATGCCTACCCCTATGATACTGTTCGCTAAAGTAATCGACTGTCCCGTCGTGCCCATGATGTAAATTATCTATTTACGCTTTATTTTATTTCCAATTTCTCGTACAAAATCTAAAAGAACTCGGCCACATTACATTTTTTTGTAAATTACCAAACGTCAAACTCAACTCAGTCAACAGCTGTCAAATTTTAGTGACGTTGACGTTAGTAATAGAGCAGATAGACTGCGCATAGACAGGAATAAGCAATGGACCAAACTGAGCCCCGATTACGGTAACTTTTATAACGTCTACAATCCAGACGCGTTTCTGATTCTGCGATACGATTGGTCAAAACAGCTGACGTACGCTGTTGAACGACCAATCGTATCGCAGAATCGAGAAGCGTGTCTGGATTGTTGACGTTAAAAATTACCGTAATCGGAGCTCTGAAATGGCCAGCACCAGCGCAGATTATTTCTAAAACATCTTTGGCAACTTGCTTGCGAAATGCGAATATTTCAGTGACTTTCTTATGCTTCTTGCCAAAGAATATAATACTCTCCTTCTTGCCAAAGGGTAGCTTAGTATGATGACGTACTCATTGAGAGATATCGTAGGTACTTGTTGGTGCTACTGTTGACTACTGATGCCAGTGCATGCAGAGCATGTAGGCTACAGTGCAGAGTTTATCTTAATAACTTTTGTGTAAGGTCCTCTTGTTACTCGCCGCTAGCTAGTGCTATGCACTAGTGAGTGCTTAGGACAGTGGCGCCAACAGGTGAGCGCTGAAGCGTTAGGACTCCTAAAGTCGCATCTGCTGCACTAACGAGGATGGCGCTACTGTAGAGTGCCAATAAATGCTCTTTATAATAGACTGCCAATTTTGCTTTTATTTCTAGACATTTGAAATCAAAAATAGGTCACTAACACAGCTCGTTATGGTTTTATCCATATAAAATGAATCGCAAAATGTGTTGGTATTGTTGGTAAGCGTATAGGTACTCAACAACGCTGGCGGCTGGACCAATTTTACCAATGCTTTTTTTTTAATGTTCGTTGAAGTCCAAGGATTTTACGGCGAGAAAAGTTCGAATAATTTCCGGGAAAACCGTAAAAACAGCCCTTTTTCACGCGGGCGAAGCCGCGGGCGGAAATCTGGTTTGATATAAAAATTACGTCTCTATTGGCGCTATCTCTGCCTCAAAGTTTATTTAAAAAAACATAAAAGAAACAAAAGATAGTTTAAATCTTTATATTTAGTTTTTGCACATTCTTTGGTACAATACAGTGGTAGAGGAGACAATTTCTTTAAATATTTCAATTTTGTAGACTCTAATAAATATTTTTGTTTTACACAACGCATTTCAGGCGGGAAATTTCTTTGGTAATTTAAAATTAATATACTTATTTGAAATGTCTCAAGGCTGCCAAAATATGTTCATCTTTACTTATTATTATAACTATTACACGGCACACACACTTCCATAGGAATACTTCTACAATGAACCCTACAGTTTAGCTTTAAGTATATTAATCTAAAACATGCATTGGCAAAGTAATTATCATTATTTATTTAATGCCACAAGTACCATAGAAATGGCTATTACAATAAAAATGGCACTGGTTTAATAATAATTTAACAAACACAATAAATTAAAATGTATTAAGTAATCACACTTAACATAATAATAATTATATGAAATAAAATTTAGGTATCAAATTAAAATAATACAATAATTAACAAATTTAAAATTATACATCCTCATGGTACATAACAATTTAATGGCACAGTCATTCTAGCACAGCAGGAATGCCAACATTAAAAATAGATAAAATTAATACAAATGCAATTTGAATGAATCTTTGGGGACAATCACTTGGTTTTCAATGGCAAGTCATAAGATAATATTATAAGAAAAATATTACATACATATTATTCCTAAGTAGAAAATTCACAAAACTATAGCTTTTATGGAATACTTAGGTACTTTCTACTACAACATACATACACACATGACACATCAATATTAGGTAGTAAATTACAAAACCGCATTGAAATGATAAAATTATATTCGTACTTTTACATTTGTATATTAAGAGCGTTTACGCGAAGCGCGGCGTTTCAAGGGGCATCATTGGAAATGATTCGCGCGCGGCGTTTTTTAATAGTTTTCAAATGTTTATAGCAAAACATTATCAATGAATTATATATCGTTTCAAAGTAAATATTTTAAAGAAGATGTTATTTTATTATATTAAGCTATTTTTATGTTGAATTAAAGAAGATTAATGGTGTAAAAATCACTTTGATTTTTGGGTATTTCACGTTCTTTGAATTTGTGATTTCTTATTGTAAAATGCTTAAATCTAAGAATTTTCTCAACTAACTATTTGCCTAAGGACCTATGCTATAAGATATAAATGTTTGTTATATCGTTTTCACAGTATTTTTATAAAAATTTCAGCTTGTAAACTGACGCTAAAGTGGAAATTTGAAAACCTGTGTGGACTTATCTTGATATAATTCTTAAATACTATACTAATCGAAATATTTTCTCAACTAACTATTTAGACGACGAAATTGTCTAATTATTTATGCCTATAACATATTTGTAATGTAACTGGTTAATGATTGTAACGAGTTGAAAAAGTACTGTTTTTGCGCCAAACGGCGTAAACGCTCTTAACAGCACACAAAGAGTTACTTAGTTTAACAACTAGACAAAACACAAAATCTTAGATTGTGTTAATGAGGGCTATCGTTTTTATACTTAACAGTTGGCACCCCTGGCGATTGACAGGACCTTACTCTACAGTGGCGCCATCTTGATGAGTGCAAATGCGATAGTCCTCCTACCACTTTAGCGCTCACAAGTTGGCGCCACTGTCTTCGCTACTAGCAAGTGACAGGACCTTACTCTACAGTGGCGCTAACTGGTGAGCGCTAAAACGATAGCCCTCATTAGGCGATTTACACGTAAACGTCAATCAATTTTTTTCGCCAATGGCGGACACAATATTTGTTGAATTCAGGTCTTAGATATATCTAAGTTATAACTTTTCTAACTCCTATGCCCTTAAGAGATCCCTCCTTGTCATAATAGTTAAATTATATTATCTTGACGATTTAGTAGAGAAATTGCAAATATCGCGGCAGCGCCTCTAGCGGCGAATTTACACGTTCCGCTTTTGCAGAGCCGATACAAGACTTATTTATACACATGGACTTACACAGTCTACACAAGTACATACAACTACTGATTTGCAGTTATTACTAGTGATGTAGTCGTTCAGGAAAGTTAGTGAATAATAAATAAAATAATGTTATTATGGTAGACAATACTCTAAAAATCATGCATAATAAGTTACTAAATATAAATACTACAAAATCTACTAATTTGTAATATGTATGTGCTAAATCTATTAAATTGTAAACTCCATTTACTTACTTGTAAGTGTTATACTAAAATATCTACTTTATGGATGATTTAATAGTAGACCTCAGTAAAGATAGGACGTTTTACAATAAAAATAAATTATTATGTATGTATGTATTCAATATAAAAATAGATGTAATAAAATATGTGGATACAATACTATTGCTGACATTTTAGTACTTCAATTAATTGTTCTGTCTCGTAATTTTTATGTAAAAAAATATTTATACAGGTACGCGATACCGTAGCATCATTGCTTTCAAATAACATCCTTATTCTTACAATCCAAAGGTGATATTAGTGTTTAAAGTTATATGAACTCACAATAAAGTCAACCTCACTCTGTCATGCAATGATTGAGAGTACAAACAAACGAATACCAGTAATTTTAAATTAAATGTTCAATATATTAACCAGCTGTCATAGTTTTCAAATCAAATAAGGGCCAAAGCATGATGTTTCTTTCTAGTATCGGCGATTTCTAGCAACTGCGTTAGTATAAACATTTCGCAACTAAACTCGTCGCTGATAAAAGAAAGTAGCTTTGCGACAATACAGGATTGCAGGCGAATAATACCTTCGAATACACTACTTCAGCCCTAAAAGCTGTATAATACCTAATGTCGTAACATTACTGGTGACCAAAGAAGTATCAGTACACTGTAATTAAAATCAAAGTTACTAAAATGTCATATGATCAGCTTTTAAAACTTTACCTATTAATAAATTCTTCATGCTTGTTTTTTCTTCTCGTCGGTCAGTAGTTCTAATAGCTCTTCTGTGGTTCGGTTCTCATTTTTCAACTTCTCTAGCTCTTCATCGGGTACTGTCCCTTCGATAAACATCTCAATATTGATCTTCAGCCTTTTGAATTCCGTGAGAGATTCGTCCATGCATGGCTCTATGCCCATAGCCTCAAGAGATTCTATCAGCAGGTCATCTATGAGGCGTTTGTTGAAACCTGTGCGAGAAAACGGTGTTAGTTTTTTTGCTGTGATTTTTGTTGTGTGGTTGGCCCTACTGCGATATTTTGTGACTATCGAACGAATAGCTCTATGCGTGTGGGAACCGAGAGAAGAACTATAGATAGAGTATAATCTAACGAGATAAATATCGTCGCGTTTGAAGTTTATTCCTTAAATATTTATTCCTTACTTAGCTTAAATTAAAGATATTTTAAAGCAACATAAACTCGAACAGCAAGGACTTTGACTCACAGATAAAAATTGCTGTGAAAAAGTAGTAGGTAACTTAGATGCTGAGCGCAGGACGAGGATCTATCATCTATTATGATGTTAATGATACAGACAGATAATGGGTAAATACGGCCATTCGTTTTAAAATTAAATTATGAATCCATTGCGCATTCCACGTTATAACCGCCCTGACTTCCAATATCTTACAAAATACCTAGGTATTGTCAAGCTGAAGCTATTTACAAGTTTTATGTAGCAGATTTTATCGCTGAATACGAAATCTAGAATAAAATAAGGAAAATACCACACCAATCGTAACAGGTTGACCTTGAGATCGCTCTTATTTTACGAGTAATAAGACCGACTTTTGCAGTGCAACTGTTACGCTTGTTGTGCGGTCAATTTACATAAATGGAATAGATTAATTACTTCAATTTATTCTGTGTATTTACAAAAGGTTTATGCTTAATGAGTTAAGCACATTTTATAGAACGTCTGAAGTTTTTTCTTAATATAAAAACTGGAGCCTAAAATAGTGAAATACAGAAAAGAACATTTTGCAAGCCGCCACCAACTCCGAAGCAGAATTTGAACCGTATCTTAAGAATTAGAGACCACCCATCCCCGAGTTTAGAGGTCCACCGACACCTTCCAACACCAGAAATTAAGAACAAAATGGCTGTGAACTCACTCGACGAAACTTTACCCTCAGCTCGCTCGGTCTGCTGGCGCCTCTGTAATATACCTCGCTAAAATAAAAACCACGATGATAAAAGCTTTGCTAGAGAACGCCGAAAGTTCACACGGCACAAAAGCACACAGACACTCAAAAGTAGCCCTGTTAAAAGCCTAAAGATAAATACATTTTAAGTTAAGACTCTTTTATTAAATATAAAATAATAACTCAAGAATTTTAAGCAAGAAGAAACACCATTTTAATGTTCTCCTGCTAGAGCTCTTTGAAAATATAATCAATTCAAAACTGTAACCAATTTGAATAGTAAACTGCCCTTGTAAAAATCAGATGGAGTTGTTCAATGTCAAAAAATAGTATTATGCAAATAATAAACATAATAATACATTGACAATAACATGGTGATGAGTTGCGCCGCGATGTCTTACTTACACATTGTATAATAATGAGCGACCGCACTCGCATCGAAATGACGGTGCACAATTAGTTATTGTTTAACCTTGTTACAGTGACCAATGAATAATAATATGATAGTGGCTTTTGTATGGGAGCACGTTGATGTCTAATGTATGTGAACACAACAACTCATGTTAAAATTTAATTGAAAACTCCACAATATTATTATCAAACATCATTCTATATGAAAACATGAGCATGTAGGCCTTTCCAAAATGGAATCCTGTTACTGGCACACACAGGAAGCATGTTTTTCACACTTAAAAAAAAAACAGTGCACTCAGTGTATGAAAGTGTAAAAACTTTTTAGAAATAAAAAAAAGTTTTACGCACCTAAATATTTCAGTTTGTCTTTGGTGGCTATGATGGTAAGCAGAAGAGCCAGCAGATATCTCATTCGAGATAGAGTCATGACAGACTCAACTTCAATTTCCTCATCTTCCTGATCGTCCTGGGTTCTTTTACGCTTAGATTTTTTCTCACCAACTGCACAGGTTTTTATGTGCCGCTCCAAATCGTTTTTCAGTTTGAAAAACTGTGTGCATTTTTCACATTTGTATGCATTTTCCTTGCCATGTATGTTTTTCATGTGGGCTTTCATGTGTGGTAACTGAGAAAACATTAATGGGCACATGGCACAAGGGAATGGCTTTTCACCAGTGTGACGCCTGATGTGAAGCATCAGAGCATTGGAATGAGAGAAATTCCTGTTACAAATCCTGCATGGATATGGCCTGGCACCGGTATGTGATCGCATGTGGACATTCAGTTGAGTGGACTGTGTGAAGCGCTGACCACACACATCACATTCATGAGGCCTCTTCTTGTCATGGGTTCTCATATGCTCAGTAAGATGACCCTTCAGCTTTTTCTTACATATAGGACATTGAAATCTATGGCCACTATGGCACACATGCACATGCCTCTGCATGGAATTAAGTCGTAAGAACTCCTTGCCACAGTACTGACAAATATAGTCTTTTATTTTTGAATGGCCTTTAAGATGAGCTTCAAAGTGGTTGCGTATGCCATAGTTCATGTCACACATTGGACATTGATACCGTCCATTTTGTAAATGTGTCTTCTCATGTTCAGTCAATAGATAATTTTCAGCAAACTTTTTCTCACAGACGATGCACTTGAAAAAGTTTGCTTTTCTTACATGATTTTTTAGGTGGCTGTTCAAAGTTTCTTGGAACATGAATACCTCTTCACAGATATCGCATCTGTACTCATCCAGTGAGTCACAGTCCTGGGTACCATGTAGTCTCATAACGTGAACTTGCATATTTATATCATATCGGAATTTCTTCTTACAAAAACTACATTTGAACGGTTTCAAATTCAGATGACCATACATATGTCTCTCAATTAGCTTTTTCTTTGCAAAAGTTTTACTGCAGTGGTCACACTCATATAGAGATCCTGGAATATCTTCTGATGGATCTCGTATAGAACTTGGCTGAGTTTGAAGTTCAGGAATATTTTTTTTCTCCTTTTTAGAGTTTGATTTTACTGCTTTATATATTTTTTTGGGTTTTTTAAATGTTGGAACATCTTCAATAGAACTTGCTTGATTTTTAGGATTAGCCTTTTGCTCCTTTCTGGGCTTAGATTTTGCTACTTTATTATTCTTATTGGTTTCTAAAGATGATGAAACTTTTTCTGCCGGAACTTGTTCTATGGAATCTGGCTGAGTTTGGGATTTACCATTTATTTTTTGTTCCTTTCTAGGCTTAGATTTTACCAGGTTATCAAGGTTTATATTTTTCAAAGAAACGGAAACATTTATTAATGGAACCTGCTCCGTAGAACTCGTCTGAGATTGGAATTTAGGATTTAACTTTTGCTCCTTTCTAGGTTTAAGTTTTACTTGTTTATCATTTTTATTACTTTCAAATTTTTGATTGGCATTTGATATGTTTTTACTTTGATTGTGGTCACTTATTCCGATATCATTATTGTTGTGGACATGTTTTTTCTTGGGCAATTTGCTTGTTGTTGATAGGGTTGATATTGTACTCTTTTCTGTGTCGCTGCCACTAATAAGAAGTTCACTTTTTAAGATGTCATTAACGAGCTTTAATTTTTCCTTGTATTTCTTTTTAATCCTTCCTCTGTCTGATACTAAATTAATATCTTTCCTTAGGGCCTTCGCCTTAAAATTGAAGTAGTTAGGTATTCTAAGCCTTGGTTTAACTTCCACACTTTTTTTTCTAGCGTCAGATGTCATCAGTTTCAAGTTATTTTTCATGACTGTAATTGTATCAATTGCATTACTTGTTGTTGTTGCAGTTTGGGTTGCACTGTGTCCTTTTTTAGGACTTTTTGGTGAATGTCTACTCTTTATATTAGCCATATTCTTGACTATTAGTAAGCTGGAGTTTCTAAGTTATAAGCACCGCCACCTTGATGTTAGTAAGTTCTTATGGCTCGTAGAGCCTACGTACTTACATGCGATGCATCGTTAGCATTTGTATAATCACCTCGCACTATCAGCGCCGTGTAGATAACGAGTTGTTCAAACAACGACGGCGGTCTGGCTAGATGTAATAGCTAATATGTGAAGGACGCAGCCTTTGTGTGCGAGCGGTGTGGGAACATCTTCGCTGCCTTGTCCGATATACAGACCGCTTCGACACTCATAAACAATGTAAACAACACTTCACTTGACCACTCATTATAATCAGCACGCGATCTCCTTTGTGTACTAATGAAAACAATTGAAAAATACGAAATTAAGCGCTACGCAAGAAGCCTCACACACGAACTCGAAACATTTTATGAGTGAATGAATGACCGAGTGAACGAACGAACGAGTCAACAGGAAGGAAACGCAGGAATCGTAGAATAATGATGATTACAATGACAAGAAAAACTTCAGCTTATTTTATCATCAAACTACGAATTGAGTTAGCTTTTTTAACTTTGCAATGTACTTGTTATTTTTCTAACGCACTTGCGAATTCTTTTACTGGGACTCGAATGGATAAAATACCCGATCAATAAATTAAGCTTGCGTGCGCCATCTATTGTCAATAAGGTTTATAAAACAACGCGCATTTTAGTGCGCAACTTTATTTCCTTGAATTAGTTTATATTAAAGTTTACTAATATTTATAATATTACGTTATTGTTAATGATGATCTATTTAATTATTTTAAAACAAAATTTTATACCTACTCATTTTAACCCTTAATTAGTCGCATGGGGTCAAAGCATTTTCGGATTCAAAAATGAAGCACTTGGCGCGGCCCGATTTCCTCCGCGCCCCCAGTAGCTTCATAAAACACGTCTTAGTTAGTATTTTGATAGCGACTAATTCACGGGAGTGGAAGGATGCGTCGCTGCGCTCTTGAGTGGTGACCCCATGCGAGTAATTACGTAACTTTTTTGGAAGAGGTAAGTTTTTTGTTTTATGTATTTATTTTGTGTATTATGAATAATATTTGTGTTATTGTATATTCAGTTAATAAATGTTTGTTATAAATGTGTTTTTACAGCTTTAAACAATAAAAATATTGATAAATTCAGTTTTACTACTACTTTGTCTTTTTTTTTCAGAGTTAGTAGAGATAGGAAAAAATAGCAAATTGTGCAATGGTTGGAAGATGTTTCTGATGAAGAAGAAGTTGGAGGGTCGAGTTCTGAGCCAGAGTTAGATGAAATAACAAAAAGTGATCATGATAGCGCTAATGAGATCGAGCAATCCTCCGCACAATCAAGTGAATCGAAAATGCAAGAAATGTACAAGATTTGTGTGCAATGATCACTCTGAAATATACTGTCAACAGTGTAACAAGAATGATTCCGAGAGTTCCTAAAAAATACTAATATTACCTATGATCTCAGTATACCTAAGTACAAATTGTTAATTATTGACAATTATTTTAATTTAGCTTGTTTTTGTATAATTAGTGAGAAATTCATGTTATTACCTATAGACATTAAATAATAAATAAAGCATTTTTATAATAATATAGTTCATTTACTTATAAAATTTCAGTATGTATTAAAAACTACTCATACAATTTGGGGTCATCTGTGACCCCATGCGAGCAGTTATGTAAGATTCTTTATGCGCGTAATTAAGGGTTAAAGATTACGTAGATACTTTTAACTTTCACCTCTAAAAGGACAGCGTTAATGGGTCGGTTTAATTTTAACAAAAATCTGATTAATAATCCTTATCATTGAATTACTAATTCATTAATTTAACTATTCATTAATAATTCAATTGAATTTTTAAAAATATTAAAGTATCGGAAAAGCTATCACCACCGACTCGAGAGCATGGCGTTGAAGTCTTTTCGCAGGTTGCACGCGCCGTATTAAAAAGACATCAACGAATAATACTTACATACTACGAGATTTCTTAGGTTTTAAAAGTTGTCTACGAGTTTTAATACGAATTTGTAATTATGAATTTTCACAAAAAAAAGAACAAGGAAAATTGTTTCGTAGGTACTTGTTCCTGCTAAATAATGTTAAGTTTTATTAGATGATAGGTAAGTAGGTATCTAATGATTGTTTAATTCCTTAATTATTTTAATTTTATATTTTTCACATAAAAGTTTCAAAATAAATACTTACGAATTAATGATGGTATATAGGTAAGAATCTATCGCTATCGGTAAATATCCCATATACATACTTAGATGGAATGGATTTTCGGTGATCTGGCTATGCAGAAATGACTTTCATCCGTATACATGAATTATTCAACATCCCAGTTGAATGAAGCCTTCTGTGGGTCTAGAAAAGTGGCACTTTTTGATTGAATCGATAATATAATCGAACCCGTTGAAACCCTATACAAAAAAAGGTCTATTCCACTTTGATCACCTGGCTTTGATGACCCAGGTGATCAAAGTCCACTTCCAGCGACAAATTAGTGTCCTTTGATCACCCACGGATATGTGCCCTGGGTGATCAAAGTGGACTCCAGTTAAATTATTATTTTAGTGTCCTTTGATCACCTACATACAAATCACACCTCATCTGAATAGACACGGTAAGTACTAACATTTTCTTAATATAGACAATTTTTTTAACAGTTTTTACAGTTTACATTTTTTTTTATATTTTAAAGCGTTACTTACCTAAACAATGTTTGTCCGTACATTAAGTATAAGAGGAGGTGTGATTTGTATGTAGGTGATCAAAGGACACTAAAATAATAATTTAACTGGAGTCCACTTTGATCACCCAGGGCATCATATCCGTGGGTGATCAAAGGACACTAAATTGTCGCTGGAAGTGGACTTTGATCACCTGGGTCATCAAAGCCAGGTGATCAAAGTGGAATAGACCCAAAAAAAGGCTTTTGGACCATCTTTCGACATAAAAACTGACACATTTTGCATTTTGTCTAGGGGGCTGATCTCCAGTTATTTTCCTACAACTGCTCCCGTTTGTCGCTCCAACAAGCTGGACGCTGCACGGGTGCACATAATTTGGATGGTTCCATCACTTCCCTATCATTATGGCTTACAATAATATCGTGTTTACATACACGGATGCGGATTTTTCAAATCTAACGACAATAGCGTGGACCTAAATAATAGAATCGGGCTATGTTGGGCAAGGAAATGTGAATTCTAGCGACATGGATGTGATTTGCTCTACGTTTTACTTCTGTTACCAATCACGCCTGTGGGTAAGTAACTAACTGCATGCAGGTTAAATGCCTGTGTATCTGCCTAAATTCCAAAGAATTTAATCAGCCTTTAGTGTATCTAAAGAGAGACGTAGTTCCATTCCTTAAGACCTCCCTCATGTCACGCATGCACCACATAATTAACATTGGTAAGCACTAAAAAGTAGGTTTTTTTTTTGTGACAGGAGGCAAACGAGCAGACGGATCACCTGATGGTAAAGGTAGCCTTTCGAACTAAGCGTCACAGACGCAGCGTCTTTAGCTTTGGTCTTAAAGGTAGCCTTTCGAAGCGAGTTAGAGGCATAAGACCAAAGCTAAAGACGCTGCGTCTGTGACGCTTAGTCCGAAAGGCTACCTTAGGTGATTACCGTCGCACATAGACACCCGTAGTCCCAAGGGCGTTACAGGTGCGTTGCCGGCTGCGTGAAGATACGCTCTCTTCATGAAAACTTGCAGGTCGTATTGGTCCGGAAATACCGCAGACGACAGTCCATTCCACAGTTTGGTTGTACCTACCTACATCACGTATTAGAAGAAGACTGGCTGTTTTCCTGTCATTATCGTAAAAATAAAAAATAAAAAAGATTTGCCTCCTGTAGAATTAACACAATATTACCATTCTGTGACCACAGCGTTTTCTATGGCCGCACTTGCTCACCGCATCAGCCTGGATTTGCTTTCCCCATTGTTCGACCACAATGGCGGCTTGCTCCACGGCCGGCGGACATCGCTTGCACAAGATTACACAAACGAACGCTTATTCCTGCCTGGATGTACGTGGTTTATGGTTAGGGGAAGTCCCACAGATAGTAAAAAAGATTTAAGGTAAACGCAGGAGCGGTTTTACTTGGCTATGATGATCATGCTTAAAATCTTATTAGACTTGTGACGGTTCACGGTTTTTTGAGATACATACATAATTATAGTCTACCTAAGTATGTGTGAGTCCAAAAACTTTTTAAGGGCTGGATTCGCGCCTGGCTTAACAATATTAAACTTCAATACTTTTGCTCTACATTTTGTACAAATTACTGAGATTAGTTTACAATAATCAAAAAGTGTCTTTCTTCTGGAGTACCTAGGTATGTGGGTAATGAAACACATAAACTGCTCTCTTTAACACTCAAGTTAAATGTTTAAGTTATACCTAATTGAATGTAGTTACACATAGGTACCTAATTACCAAACAAACCTTGTACACTTATTTGAATAACAAAGCGAGATATTTGACGTTAATTTAAGAAACCAGGGCCATGTTTTATTAGATTACGTTTGGCAAGACGTTGCTATTTGAGCTATTTCACAGGTATTTCTTAATGAAAATGTAATTTGAAACAATGGTGACCCTGTTTGGGGACCAGCATTGGGACAAATGGGCGGCAGACAATAGGCGGAACGAAACCACCTGTTGGCAAAACACATGGTGTTAAGAAACTTTAAACCAACTGTTGCATCATAATATTTGACAAAGAATGGCAAAATGCAGTCATCATCGACCATGGTAAGTACATGCATATTGTGACTAGGCTGCAATTGACGTCACACCTACTTACACCATAGTTTGATAAGCGCAAATGTATTTACGCTTCTACCTAAGCCCTTTTAAAATTGTAGCGATAAAAATATTTCCTAGTTCCTTTTCCTAACTTTTTGTCAAACAGATCGAAATTAAAAATAACAAGATCAGTCCACTACAAAAACTTCTAATGAACCATAATTATGCCTTAATTATGTTGTTTTTAAATGATTTAGAAGTGTTACCTGAGTGTGTAGATTTAAATGATTGATTTTGGTATGAGGATGAGGGAGGAGAGACAGAAATAGCCAAAAGGGCTACAGCGCGCTTAGAAAACCAATTTTCACGCTTTCCTCTTTTCCATATTGCAAGAAAACTGTCTGCGTGAATCAAACTGCTATGACATTTTTTATCTAAAACGACATCATGTCGGCTACAATGTAAGTAGACTGTGACGGGATTATTAAAAGAAATTAGGTTGAAGCGCATTAAATTGTCGAGTTAGCGGTAAGTTTAGTGACCCCATGACATTTTTTCGGTGGATGCCACACGCTCTTATCTCGACTACCTAATTAATTAAAACCTCATTTTTGTCTTGCGAGGCATGATAACAAACGACTCAAAGGAATTTCTATGCTAGGCTTTTGTTTTATTGGCTACTGGTTGTCCAGTAGTGTCGAAATAAACAAATTATAATATGGTCGTCTAGAGCACAAATACAGAATGTAGCTCTATATTCCTAACGCTATTAACAAAAATTGATCATATTCAGTTAAACTATATGAATAGACTGTGACTTTCTGCTACACCTAGGTGTAATCGAGCAGCGGTGGCAAAAAAAGGAATGCATCAGGGAGGAGAACGCAAGAAAGTATGTATGTTTAATTCCACATGAACAACCGATAGAAGTAGTCTAAGTAACTAAATCTAGCACATCGGCTACTTGAACATTTTGTAATAGAACCTATCTACTAAATGAAGTCTTCATTGTTCCCTAATGCAGGCCAACTGTAAGTGACATCTTCGTTTTCGCTCTGATAACCAATCTGCCCGCAGCATCAGCAACGCCCGCCAATCTCCGCACCTGCCACCAACCGTGAACGTCTACCTACACTATGACAATGCGCACAATCTTAGATCGATTCGAGCGGGGACCATTTTCCAGAGACTGCACTTCTTAGTTCTTACAGCCTTCTGCACATTATTCCACGACTCGGGCTCGCGGTGATAGCAAGGCGTACCGTTCGCGCGCCAATTTTTGACACTTTATTTTTTTAAGCAAACGCACAGAGGAGTTAACTTTATACTGCTAACTTAGATGTTTATTTGTTGTGATAGAAATGGTGAAATTCTGGTGGATGTTCATATTGTTTGCAAAAACGGCTTCGGCTAGTGATAACGAGTTGCCTGATGCAGACGCAGGAAAAGGTGGGTGATGTGCAAACCTAAATTTTCTGAATAGGAAACTATAAACAAGATACTTTGGAGTAACTCTGGGAAAATAGGGAATTAATAGAGATTTTATAATTGTATGTATTAAACTATGCTTTGAGCTTCTAAGGGAGGTTTTTCTAATGCAAAAATAATTTCTATGGCAAAACGCAGTGAAAAACTTTTATCTCATTTTATCTAACCAAGTGGTCCGAGTAATACAAACAAAAAAATTCTCGTTATTTAGCTATGAGCTTACTATAAGACATTTTAAAGGCTTTTTACAAAATTTTAGTATGCTAGTTAACCGACAATACCAAAACACGCCAAATAGATGTGTACCTACGTAATTCACTTTTTTATTACGTAGAAACTTCGATGAGAAACTTTCGTAACTTATTCAAACATAATAATGCATACAAACAACATAATAAAAGAAAGGAAAAGTGTACCAGAGAAAATTACACGGTTTACTTTAAAAGACTTAAGCGTTTTTTCACACGCTTTCCCTTCGGAATGTATAGCCAAAAATGCATCAGTATTTAGCTATCTAGCTACGAGATTACTAAGTAGGTATTTTTAAATGGATCATAAAGATAGATCTATAGATAGATAGTTCTATAAACGATTAATTAATCTAAACCGTAATTTAAACGAAAGCTTTGTACATGTCATGCACAAAAGCATTCGTGCGATGACTATTTTCGGGTATTTCCATCAGTCTTTGAGACAGAGCGATGCAAAGTACGGAGGGAATCCGGGAAAGGTCCCGGAGGATCTGAGAATAACGAGATATTTCTCATATCTCGTTATGAAATGGAATCTCGTGCATATTATTACAGTCTGTAATAATTCCATATCCAATAATGGACTTGCGTTTGAGATATTATGGATATTATGATGATCAAGGTAGATGTATTGCGTTTTTCTTCTTCCAACCAGTGGTAATTTCTATGGAACCGTTCATTTTTTCTTTGACTTTTTTGGAGTTGCGATATTGCACGTTGGATATAGGAAGTCTTATTTTGAAATGATTTAAGACAATAGATATCTACCTCACAAAATAAGTATAGCAATTAAAGCAATACAAAATTGAATATTAGACGGGGCTATTAACCCACGACTATTCCACGGTACTGCACACGGACAAAAGAAGTGAAAACAAATGCAACATCGACATATAATAGTGAACATTATGAATAACAATTTTCCTGACAAATCTCTTTACTAGATCTTTACAACGTTATTGTTTTTATTCAATTTAACGGGCAAGAACAATGCTATCTGATTGTTTAGCTCTCTGGAGTCTTCCAGAGTCAGAAAATTGAAATTAACAAAACAAAATAATGCTTTTCTATCTCAAACACCAAAGGGTTTCATAAAGAACCGATAGTTGGTACCGGTGCGCTCAATAGCGTATTGGAACGCGGTTAAATAATTGAAATAGGGAGGTCTAAATTTAATCCCTAGTCGAGAAAACGAATAAGTGATCGCGTTTTATAGGTGTAGAAGTGGCACTGTCATAATATCGCTCTGCCGTTTTTAATAGGTAGGTAACCTTGTGACTTCTTCAAACCTACTTTTGTAAAATCAGCTGCCAACGTTCTTACTCCAGAGCTATTCTACAGACACTGGGGAAAACTACGATTTTAGTGTGGCAAAGTAGTGTCTGTCATCGTGAAAAAATATTAAAACCCTCTTAACTACAATTTTAGTATGGCAAAGTAGCGTCATCGTGAAAAAATATTAAAATCCTCTTAATTTTCTCTATTACAGAGTCACGCTTCCTTCCCCTATTCGAAGTGAAGAGGTTTGACAACAGACCTGCTGCAGGCGGTCTACCACCACTGACCACGGTGCCCATAGCCGGGGAACGATGCTCGGCCCGGTTAGAATCAGCCCTCGACCAGCTGAAGAGGCGGAAGAGGAATCAACCCAAGAGCTTGGACACTCCTTTGGTAAGGACCTATTAATTTGACCAATAAAGAACTCTTTTATTTTAGTAAGACGGGTTTTTTTGCCCGTCTTTAGTAAGAGGCAGACGGCCTCAGTAGTACGAGTGCTAATACCAAAATAACTTTTTGATTTTATCACCCATTGTATCACCAGAAGGCATAGGAAAGAGGTTCCACAAAGTTGCAAGCTGTAGAATGTCGTAGCTAGAACAATGATGATGAAAAAGCTAGGATGCCCTTAGAGTTACAGAGGTTCTTAACTGAATGCAATGATACAAATCCAAAGACTGAAAAAAGGGTACCTACTTTTTTAATGTGACGACCGACAATCTATCTTTCATATGTAATTAGATAATTATATGAGATGCTGTCATCGTCTTTTAGATTTACCGGAACAAATAGTCTAGAAATTATGTCTTTTCAGAGCCAGAGCATCGACCTCAACGGATACAGCTTGTACCATCAGATGAGAAGTGCGCCGGTAGACATGTATGTCACGCGTATGCGCGTGCGACTTCCGCAGAACAGCAATTGGGTCCGCGTAGAGAAATGTTACTTCGACCCGAGAAACGTATCCCTCGATACAATGCTTCTGTTCCACGATATCACTATCAGTGGAAACGTGGATTTGTACGACGCCAACGAGTTAGACAGAGGACAGCCAAACGGAAGGCTCAGAAGAAACTACGACCCCAGACCTTACGATGGACCTTACAATGAAGACCCTTATGTGCGTCCACGAGGAAACGGTTGCAACATGATCTTAAGACTGAGGAAAGCGGGCATCGGATTTCACACGAGACCCCTCAATCAGCAACCAGGGAAATTCAATGTCAAAACTGATTCCGAATTCGTTGAGCCAGGCTTCATTAGCGTTTACGCGTACGGTTGCGAGAAGTACATAAACAGGAATTCTGTTAGGAATAAAGATAACCTGCCTCTGAGACGCAGAAGGCGATCGGACGAGTTTTCATTCCATTCCCACTTGGATCCGCCCCGCGCAGACGGGTTAGACAGCAGATCGGCTGACAACAACTGGGATATTATCTACGAGCCGCGCAGTAACAGAGTAAACTATGAGAGAAGCAAACTGTTCAGACCTGAAGATGATTTGGACGAAGTAGAAGATATTTCACGCGAAATGGAAGACATCTTCACAAAAGGCATAAGAACTCTATTAACAACATACATGAAGAAAGAACTGCAGCCGGCTATAAAGGACACTTTGATGAGAAATATGGGTTATGTGATATCATATGGTTAGCTATAGTCAAATTTTTGTAATCGATTTATTATAAGATTGTATTTGTATAGTTTTACTGATCTTATTGGATTAGTATATTGTAAAATAAATAAAAGTAAAATTGGTTCATTTCTATTTGTATTCTTTTCATATAGGCTCATAATGTATAAATATAGCAAAGTTTATCACAATATTGGGATATTCTACAATATGACTAGAAACAAACATTTAAATAAATAATTAAACAAACATAAATAAAAAATACCAAATTAATCTTACATTCTAGTCTTATTTGAGAAGCCTGCCTGTGGAACCACTCTTGGCAATGTGGATAATTTAAATGAAAAAATAAATAGAACATACAAAAAAGCACTAAGAGATTTCAAAATGAGGTCTAATCAATATAATTTAATTAGCCAAAAATGTATTCTACTACATATTAATTAATCTTCTTCTACACATCACATTGATGAAAAGATATAAATTCTAATCATTATAACAATAGCATTTAAACAATTATCTAAATCATCTTTGTATTCTCATTAGAAAATGTTTCACCTCATCATAAACAGCAAAATGCAGGGCTGATACTAAAACAGCTTTATATGTACTTGGTAAATACCCTTTGTATAAAGCCAGAAACCCTTCTTCAAGTATGGTTAACTTTATACAATCCAAGAAGCCTCTACAATACATTTGCCTGCCAAAACCCTTCCTGTGTTCCTGGAAACCTTGAATTTGCATCCGTTTCTTTACTAAATCAAAGGGATAAATTAAAGTCTTAGCAACAAAACCTGCTATAGATCCAGATATCAAATTAGCTATGAGAGAAGATTCCACTGCAGAACTAACATTCACTTGTCTTTGGAAAAATTCAATCTGATTCAAAATATTGTCTGTTAAGAGTTTGTACACAGCAAACTGGATCCCTGCATGGGGGGCTATCTGTCCCAAGGTAGGCACAAGTCCTTTGTATAATGCACCAACACCTTCAGTCTTCACCATTGTGGAGAAGGCATCTACAAATCCCTTGTAAGCTCTTTTAGTCTTCTGTTCTGCTATCAGTCGGGTCCGAACAGTATCAAAGGGAAATGATGCAACTGTTGCAATTGTAGCAGCTACACCACCATTTGTAAAGTTAATCCAGTGTCTATTGTTCATAAAAAACTGGGGATCAGATCTTTGACATACTTGGCTGAGTTTTTCGAATATCGCGAACTGGACGACGCCAAACGATATTGATAGAAACTGGGCGGGAACGTGACCACTCCATAGCGCGTACAGACCTTCCTCTTTGACGATAGATGACACAGCTTGAACGACCGAGTTGTACTTGGAATTTGATCCGTGCTTTATAGGTTCCAGCTGCAGTTGAAATCTTATCTTAAGAACATCTAGAGGTTGTGCTATGGCCCTCGTGATTGCGCCTGACGCGCCGCCCGCCACGGCCGATTGTATAACCGATACTTTAACTGCTTCGTTGTTTATGGCGTAAACCATTTTCAGTTACTTGACTGACTTCAAGATTCAGATAAATTTATTCAGAAAATCAATAAACTTACATAAAAATCTCCAAAGGAATCATCGAAAATGAACGCACTCCAACTGATTGTGTTGGTTAGTATTTCTTCAGTTTTGAGGAATGTAAATGAATTATATCATCACGTTTACATCAGGCTTGATATTTAGCAAATTTTACTGCCCATGTTTAGACAGAAAATCCACGAATAAGTTATTTATTTTCAATTCTTTCACTTTTCGGTGAACTGTGATGCATTCAAGAACATCTGATTTTGACATTTTTGACAATGACATTTGACAACCTGTTCGAGGAGTTTTCCGTTTGGCGCATACTGTAATTGATTTTAATTATTTTTTTTTTAAACTCTGTTCAGTTCAAATCGCACGCACTTTAAACGAACATTAAATTAATTTTTACTGACATCGTTTGCTATCCGGTTATCCGTTTTTTTTATAGTTTTTTACCTATATTTATTGATTCCATTGCCTTCACAGATATGGATTAGAGACATGAAGCTACAGATAAAAAACCTGAATGTCTCCAACTTCCTCATTGGCCCTAGAGCAATTCCAAGTATACCATCAATAAAAGCCTAATTAGAGTCATCAAACCTCTCAGTCATTCAATTAGAGCCATTAGAACTTCATAACTATGAGTTGTTTTCTATGTGTAAGCTGAGGACACGTGTCTCCAGCTGACACATCTGTATCTTCGTAAATATTTATGCTACGATAATGTATTATACCTCAAAAATTACAGTCGAATCCAAATAGTAGGCTTTCCACTTTTCAAGACTTTAGCTCAAATACTGTNATTAGAGATTGCCTTAAAGGTGCTTTTATTCGCTCATTCATTTTACGTCAACCAACGAACGAACGAGTCACAATTTATCATTCGTTCAAATTTATTTTTTTCATTCATTCGGAAAATATTTGCGTCTTTGTTGGATTACTGTGTTGTGAATTTGTAAACAAAAAATTATCAATTTAGAAAACCCACAATGTCTTCACCGTTAGAAAATCTGGAAACCCAGCTTGAAATGTTTATAGAGAATGTGCGACAGATTCGCATTATTGTAAGCGATTTCCAACCTCAGGGCCAAAGTGTTTTGAATCAAAAAATGTAAGAATAAATTCAATTTCTACTATACATACCTTCAACTATGATGAGATTTGGTATTCTTAATATTTTTTGTTAAATTTATTTCAGTCAATCGCTGGTAACAGGCTTGCAAGAAGTGGACAAGTTGAAGTCGCAAGTTCATGACATTCATGTTCCCACAGAAGTATTTGAGTAAGTGTTTAATGTTTTGCAAGTACTTAAAGAATATTCTCTATCTATTATATTATATTATCTATTATAACTAAATAGAAAAAATCACTAAATCGCAAGATTCAGTTATTTACTCTACCTAAGTAATGTATTTATTGCTTGAAAACTAATGCAACATCATTCTTTTATTTCAGCTACATCGATCAAGGTCGAAACCCTCAGCTATACACAAAAGACTGCATTGACAAAGCCCTTGCCAAAAATGAGGAGGTCAAAGGGAAAATAGACTCGTACAAACGATTCAAGAGCCATCTGCTTCAAGAACTATCGAAGACTTTCCCTAACGAGATTGCCAAGTACAAGGCTGTTAGAGAATAAAATAATATTTAATTAAGCTAAGACTGGAATACAAATCTTATTAATTTTAATTTATAACCTTTTTAATAGTTATTAAAGTTACATAATATTAAAATTATCAATCTTTTTTATTTATAGCGGTGTCGTTATGATAAATAATCAGCTTTAAGCATTCTTTGATACAGGTCACATCTAAAATGGAGCAATCAGGATAGAAAATTCCAAAGTTTTGCGCTAGAAATTATTTTATTAAATTTTAAATGCAAATTAACATAATATAAATAAAATCATAAAACAGTTGATAAGTAAGAGTGATTTATCATGAAAACAAGTGTATACAAGATAGATTACTGAGAATAGTATGATTGTAGAAAAAAGAATGATGAAGAAACACTTTTCTTCTAAAAAGCAGTTTCATTGTGAAAATCTGAAATTCAGAACTAGATATAAAATTAAAGGTGAAGCTCTAACTCACCATTATAATTATTCTGTTAAAATATTACATTTGAATTGAATTAAATTACAAAATTAATTTAGTCTATAATTATTCCTTTTAAATAAATAAGTCTCTGCCATAAAATATTGTTAATAAATAATGTAACTGGGCATGTTTGAAATTAGAAACATTTGTGATTTCATTAAATACTGAATAAATAATTTAAAACTATACTAGGACCAACTCTGGTGTTGGATTTTTCTGTTTATTTTCGGATATGCTGACATTTGGGCTTTTGTATTCGACTTCTGCAGTGGTACCACTGTCTTCGAGGTTGTCTTCTGAAGCTTCTACAGAAGCTACATGAGCTGCATCCATTGAGAAGTCGTTCCACATTTGATAAAACCCGTTCTTCACTGGTTCCACGAGCTCTAGTTTACTGGTGATATACACGTAATTCCAGTGATCCGAGGAGCGGTCGTCACCCCAGTTGAGAGTGCCCGCCATGAGTACGTTATCATCGATCAAGCAGAACTTATGATGCATTCGCCTTATTGGTTCATTTACTATGCACTTGATTTCAGCGCCTGTAAAACAATGATCTTCATTTATTTATGTAGGTATCTAAACCTAGGTTTGACTCCTTATTGATCAATAGAATTAACTCAAGTGATTAAACTTAGTAAATGATAAAAAAAAAATATAATTTACTATCTTGATAAGGCGTTAAGTTGAACTTTTGTAATTAACGGAATCATAAAAATATTGGTCTACTAAGTATAAAGTAATTCGTTATTTCAAAGTTCCAAAGACTTACCGGCTTCTGCAAGTTCTTTCATGAAGAACTCTGTGGATTCGTTGTATCCAGACGGGTCAATCAAAATACGGGCTTTGATATTCTTCTTTTTGATTAGACTAACCAACCGTCCTTGAATAGCTGGATTGTGAATACCCGGCATACATACGTTGACGCTCCGCTTAGCAGCTTCCACATAGCTTATCAGTTTGTCGAAGTAGTTGTACGCGTTGAATTGCAACTTGCAAAATATCATCACTTCGTTTAATTCACTGCTGCGGCGGCTTTTGAAGAAGTAAGCCGCAGCAGACACAACGCAAGTTACCGCTATAGCCGCTGCCGTCGACAGGATACGTGGATGTATTCTCATTTTACGTGATTTCGATCATAAATGGTACTTTTTGGCGTGGACAGTGACCAGTCTTGAAATTTTATTAATTGAAATAAAATCAAGAGGTCAAATACCACCAGTACCAACACGCAGCCCGAATTTTAAAAGATAACATGCAACTACCCTCAATTTTGCTACTGACTTCGTAAACTAGTTTTGTGGGTCAATTTTTTACAACATGTTGTTTTTATTTAATATTATAAATACGAATTAAAGGAAGAATCATTTTGTTTTACTGAATTCTGTAACTTACATGAATATTTTCAATATGTTACATTTTTATCGAGACAGCTATTGAATGAACTATCTCTGTAAATGTTATTATAGCACACCAAGCGCGCGAATTTTTTGACATTTCTTTGTTTTGACAGCTCGTGATAGAATATTTTTTTCACAGCTGTAGTTCTAAATAATCGAATAATTTATATGAAATCATGTCTTAACAGTGAGTTTGTAAGTTTGATTGAGTTTATTTAGATAGGAGGAGTGTTTGGCAAGTCGGAAATATGGGTATTACGGGTCTGATACCGTTCCTGGAAAAGGCATCAAGGCGGGCCAATGTTAGTGAATTTAGTGGGAGCACCGTAGCTATAGACTCATATTGCTGGCTCCACAAGGGAGCTTTTGCCTGTGCCGATAAACTAGTTCGGGGAGAAACAACTGATATGTAAGTTTCACGATGAAATTATAACATTTTTATGAAACTATAAAATAGGTTATGATCTGTTACTTTTAGATAACTATGTGTCAAATCATTGGTTTAAGAAAGCTCTCCAGACTATTTTTAACTGTTATTTTAAATATAAACTTAGAATTAAGTTTACTGTAATATTTAAAACATGTTTTGTTGTTTCAGTCATATAAGATATTGCTTGAAATATGTGACAATGCTCTTATCCAAGAACATCAAACCCATATTGGTGTTTGATGGACGCCACTTGCCCGCTAAAGCAATGACTGAATCTAAAAGAAGAGAGTAAGTATAAAAAAATCTCAACCCTCTTAAAATTATTTTTAGTAGAGAGGATTAAGAACAAATAGAAACTTGTATTTATTTTTAGGTCTCGAGACATATCTAAGAAAAGAGCTGCTGAATTACTTAGCCTTGGAAAGGTATGCTGTCTTTTTAAAGCCCTTATCTGTCTTACTCCTAAGTCTGACCTTGAGCCTAGTTAGTAATACATTTACAGCTAAAAATGAAGGTAAAACTAACCCATAGAATAAGAAACCTTTGTAGTTTTGACTTAATAAAACCCTAAAAATGAGTAATAAAACGTCCACCCGCAAGGTGGACCGACGACATCATAAAGGTAGCAGGAAAGCGCTGGACGCAGGCTGCTACCAACCCGGTAACATGGAAAGCATTGGGGAGGCCTATGTTCAGTAGTGGACGTCCTATGGCTGAGATGATGATGATGAGTAATAAAATATAACAAGGTCTTTGTATGATTGATATTTACTTTTAAAAATTTCAGATAGACGAAGCCAGGTCTTACATGCGGCGCAGTGTGGATATAACCCACGCAATGGCTCTAGCGCTCATCCAAGAATGCCGTAAGAGAAATGTGGACTGCATAGTAGCCCCCTACGAGGCTGATGCTCAGTTAGCCTACCTAAATATCAAGAATATCGCCCATCTAGTCATCACTGAGGATTCTGACTTGATACTGTTTGGGTGTACAAAGGTTTGTTTTTGAAGTTACTCAAAATATTAAAAACTATTGTCTACTATGATTATCTATATATACAATATGTAACAAAAACACCGTCCGATCCGAAAGGGTCATAAAGTAGCTTTAACAACATTACCAAAACAAGTATCAAAATTACGTAATTAATTATAACAATTTTTTTATCGATTTTTAAAGTCAATAAGTTTAGCAATGATTTACCCTACAACGGGGAAATTTTCAAAAAGCGTTAACACTCTGTCGGCGCGCGGCTTTTTTTAAGACGCTGGGGGTCATGACCTTATGACGTCGCTACGCGTGCCGGCGCATCTCTACCCCTCCCGCGTACCCTCTACACTGCAGTGCGGATTGCCATGTAAGCTATTTTATTATTGTAAATTTTGTATTTATTTTTCATGGGGTATTTTTTTTATAATATTTTATGAAAATTATTACACAAATGGAATCTTAACTCGATACCTATTAACACCTTAATGGATCGGACAGTGTTTCCGTTACATATTGTATAAATGTGCAGTCAATGGCCCTGCCGGAACAGGCCGATTGCGGCACTCTGGGTCAGAACCCCTGAAAGGAGCCCTGCCAACAAATTTACGAATCGCGGTTCGCTCGCCCACCACCAATAAACAACCACTTACCGGTGGGAGCAGGCTTTTCTTCCACGTACGAGTGGACAGGGTGGTTTCTTCTGATCCTCTTTTGAAATCTAGCGAGTACAGTCTGCAGCCACGCGGTTTTCACGCGCAGGTCGGATCCCAGCTGGTAGTCTTCAGATTCAGGTGCAAACGATGGGGCACAGAGATAATTCACCCAGAACACACCACAACACTTCTCAGACGGAAATACAGTCAAAATATAGCGGAATTGAAATTATTTGCAACAGCAATTTAAACGCTGCAGCTCGCGGCGAGGACGGCCATCACACTCATTTTTTCAGCCAATCAGGATCGACTCCCATCGATATGCTCGTAGGAATCGAGCGTTACTATTGGTTGATTAGAACGAGCGAAACGAATGAAGTTTTAAACGAATGTTGGCGCGGCATGATTTGAAATAGTTACGTTTACTGTACATAGTTATAGAATTTTCTAATTTAAATTGTGAAAGATTTTAGGCACTTTTTCACCGGTCGCTGTACACCGTTGAAATTATTTTTTTTCATATTGGCATGACTGTATTGCGTGTCAGTGTTGCCTCCGTAATAAAAAAATGTTGCCATATCTAAATAAACGAAAACTTGGTAGTTTATTGCTCTACAGTTGCACCCTCGGCTATATAAAAACCTTTCCCGGTTTATTGTCTATTCACCCCGTGAATTCTATTCACCCCATTTTACGGTAGCTGTTTTATCTAACGCGGAGGGGCCTGAGGAATGCATAACTCTTCCCTCCCTAAACGAGAAAAATTATCGGAAGTTTCATTTGTATGATTTTTCCGATAATTTCGTTAACATAAATTTTGCGGAAGGCGAAATTTAAAAAGGTTTCAAAGCGTTCGAGCTAACAAAATGAGGCTGATTGCCTGAAAAATATTGGGTTGGCCTAAAGTTTAGGCCGCCCTAAACGAACTGCTAGGTTTTGACTGCGAATGCATTTTACTTCGCATTTTGTACTGATCCATGAAGTTCACTTCTTCGAGCACAATCGAGAGGGGGTGGCTTCCAGAGTGGACGGTGCCTTTAATCTCGCAATGCGCACGAGATTTTCAGTTAAATTGTAAAGAAACACATTTAATAAATATCTTTTTCATCTCCGGAGGATTGGTAGATGTTTTTCACCTTTTTTTGCAAGAACTTTACCAGCCTAAGGCGACAAAAAAAAGGCACTTTCGTCTGTTGAATATTCTTGCCGGCTGTTCTAATACATCTTTGAGATCATTTTCGCGTAGATAAGATTCAAGTTCTTCAAACCACCGCCTTATGTGCTCTTCTGTAACAGCATCTCGAGCTGTCGTTAAATTTTGTGCCGTTCTCTCAGACAATATAGGATGTCACATATTCACATTTTTTAAGGAACAAATGCTTTTTGTCGCCGTTAAAAAATGTAATCAATTGGTTTCGTCATAGTTTAAAATGTTGATCGGATCAATGCCTACTAATGACATTTCTAATTCCTTGAAATAGTCTTTAATCGTGTTTGGTGAAACTTTTGTTACATCATTGGTCAAAAAAGCCAGTCTTTAAAAGTCGTATCTTTTAACCACTACTGTCTAAAATTTTGTACACGATGTTGCGATAATGTGTTACCTTCCTTTTTTCTTGTCCAACCACCTTTTTTGGGTAATTTTCTAGGCGGAGTTAAAGTAGGCGAACGGTCACTGTTTTCTTCGTTATCACTCATAAAGAGACTTATTACTCTTATAGCACCTCTAAACAATGGTATTAATACTAATCGGTGTAATTTTTTGTTATAATTTACAATAATAGAGTAGTAGAAATTACTATTTAACATATGGCAACAAATGCATTTTTGTTTTCTTAGCCCTCGTATAAGTGTTCTTTGGCCCTATTGAAGTATTGAAGAGTCGAGTCAAATTCAAGTTCATTCCTTCGTACCTGCTGCTATTCTGATTCATCGGAGTTTTGTTCGTTCCTTCACGAATCGCGAAAAGACTTTCTGTTATGTTCACAACTATGTGATCTGAGTTTTCTCAATGTGCAAAAGTTTTTTTTATTTGTTTTGTTGAAAACTTTGCGAAAAGACGCTTTTGGTGTATATTATGTGTGTTCACATATAAAGGAAAATGATTAAATTCAAAAGCTTTTGTTTATTTGCATTTCCATGTGCAATGTAGAATTTTTCCAAATCCATTGTTTTGAAAATAATATAATACGTACACCATAAAGATTAATATTTTCAAAATAATGGATTTGAAAAAATTCTACATTGTACATCATAAAAACAATAATTCCTTGAAGTTTAAGTTTAAGCACAAGTTTTAATCGTTCAATATTGAGAAACAATTTTATCAATGTCACTGCTTGAAAGAAGTTTGTTAGTACCGAAGTGCTGAAATAATTCGACCCAACGGTTTTCAGTAGATAAATCCTCGGCATTCTAGCCAGAGATTCTTTCATCTGTCGCATAGTTGGAAATAAATGTAAACTCATCAAAGACTTGGCTGCTGCTTATAAACCCTTGCGTGATCATTAGATCCGTCACTTTCTGCACCTCTTCCCACGTAGGCACCTTTGTTAAGCTTGCCCATTCAAACACTTCCAGTTCTCCAGTTCTCCTTCCAGTCCTTGTAAAAAAACGTACAAGGCGTATTACAATGACGACTACTAAAAAAAAAGCATTATGACCAACCGATGAAACTAAAAGTAATTGATGTGACAAACAAAAGATTCAATTTTGTTAACCAGTGTAATTAGACATTTGATTTTCAGACACATAATTTTCTTTCCCTCTTTATCCTTACTTGTATTTTTTCATTTAGAGCCTTCAAGCATTTCATTATAAGGAAGTCTGAACATTTATTTCGACCGATTCTCTTAACACTTCCATCAATGCCATGATGTTATAAAAGTTGTGTTTCTTTAAAAAGTTACCAAAAGTCACAGGATGTAAATAAACGCCGTCATTGGGAGACGATTGGTTATGTTGAACGTGGACAATATATGGAGCCGTATCAGAATTATTGTAAACTTGCGTCCAATAGAGGCGGGCAAGGAGCCAGAATTTGGCAAATCTTGGTCAATAGTACTCCTCCCACTCGAGTAGTATCTGCTGCAGGAGATTTAATATCAGAGTTACTAGCACGACCATCAAGCTTTTTCCTTTCCTGACCTTGAAGTTTTCTTTTGCGAATGTGACTATGTTTGAGAGCAGGAGGGGCACTAGCTGAATCTTCAGTATCTGTATCATTATTTGTTACAGCCACATAATAGCCTACTGAGGGTGAAGAATGTCCGGGGAAACTGATAGGTTCATCTAGAACAGGGGGAAGTGATCCCCCAGGGTCAGGAGGATCGTTCATGACGAGACACAAAATTCAGAAAAAACTTACCAGATATCAGCAACAATATCACTATCTACACAAATTTACGTACGGAATATTTACACTAACACTACTTTCCTGATCACAATTACTGATATTATAACATCGATCGTAAATATAAAAAAAAACGATTAACAGAGCTTATTGCGCCTAACTTTAATAATTTTTGAATACAGCTACCATGTCTGATTTTTCAGTCATTGACAAGGAAGACGTTGGTACATGGGTTTGGTAAACAACAGAATCGAATGGTATTGGGAAACCTAAAGCTATCCACTCTAATACAGTGTGAGTCACGTTAAAGTGTACATATGAAAATAGGTGAAACTAGACCTATTTTTATCGACAAAAAATAGGTCAAATTTTTTTGAGATTTTTTCTTAATTTATTATAGATTTTTTTTTCTTCCAATTACTTATTTTAAAGAAATCGTAATAACTTTTAAAACTAAGAGGTATATCCTGATAAAATAAAAACAGTAATAATGCTAAATAATAGACGATACTAAATAAATACATAAAATACATACAAATGTTGTGATAGGGATAGAGACATGCGATTTTTGGTTTTACAAAGGTAATACGATAGAAAATAATAAAAAGTCATAAAAACCACCTGTTATAGGGGCATTTTTTGGAGAAATTCATCAAATAACCAAAAAAACACGAATTTTTAAGCAGATTTTTTTCAAAAAGTATCATTTTTTATTATTTGTTGGCATTTTCTGAGTATTTTATGTATTTATTTAGTATCGTCTGTTATTTAGCATTATTACTGTTTTTATTTTATCAGGATATACCTCTTAGTTTAAAAGTTATTACGTTTTCTTTAAAATAAGTAATTGGAAGAAAAAAAATTCTATAATAAATAAAAAAAAAATCTCAAAAAAATTTTGACCTCTTTTTTGTCGATAAAAATAGGTCTAGTTTCATCTATTTTCATATGTACACTTTAACGTGACTCACACTGTATAACAGGGTTGGTTGTTATTTTAA